CCCACATCCTTTTGCTCTGGCTGCTTTTGCTGTCTTCTGCTGCCTTAAAGCATTGCCCCTGTGCCATGCCACTCTGCCTTGGTGCTAGCTGATTACGGACTGAAACCTCTACAAACTATGGTCTAAATAGATCTTTCCTTCCTTAACTTTGAGTGTGGGTATTTTGTCTCAGCAATAAAAAGAAATAAGACAATTACCCTCACTAATTTTGACACACATCATCTGAAACCTCTCATAGTTTTCTGTGACCTTTGCCCTTCCACATGCTACTCTGTAATTATCCCAGGAGCCAGGGAGTCTCTTTACACTGATAGTTGATATAATGGCAACACAGTAGTCAGGTAAGGAAGAACAGCAGTCAAAGAGAGAAGCAGACGGCTTCTGGTTTGATAGAGCTGGAGAATGCTGAAGGGGAGGGTCAGGGGTATGAGATAGACATGACCTCTGGTGGTCTCTTTGGCTACTGCTCTAATTCATCATTCTGGGAAGGTGCATGTTACCTTGCCATGTTCTTCATTTTCTATCAAATAAGTTCCGCAAGTCTCCAAAGATGTCTTAACAGTGAACAAGAGGGCAAAATTGTACATCACCCGGTCTTTGGAGGGGCATGGACATGAGATTCTTTTGTTTGCTGGGAAGCTGGTTCTTGAATTATGGACAGGTTAGCATCACGACTTAGCTCTAACTCTGAATCAAGTGCGTATCCTTCACTTTGCTTAAATAGGAGCCTTCACTCGGGTGAAGTGTGGATTAACTGCAAGTTAGTCTCTGGAAAGAACAAGCCTATGGCTGAATGGATGCAATTCTTACAGGAGGAGAGTGACCTGGAGGTGGAATGGACTTAGACCCAGCATGACCCCAAGTTGGATGCTTTATATGGGAGGAAGAAAAAAAAAAAAAAAAAAAAACACAACTTGGCTAAACAATATACAGCTTTTGGGACGTCTGAGGCCAACCACCAACGGTGCCAAACTGCTCAGTGTCACTATGGAGGGAGTGGTTGCACTGGAGGCTGGGAGAGAAGGTGGTGGCACCTGGCAGTGGCAAGCTAATGCCAGGCGTCTGCATTTGTATGTATGTATTTCAGCCAGGTCTCCCTATGTGGCCCAAGCTGGGCTCAAGCAATTCTTTTGTCTCAGCCTCTCAAGTACAGACTATAGGCACATGCTACAAGGCTGGCTAGATTTTTAAATATAGACTGTAATTCTGGTTCTATGTTTGACTAAATCTGTTCTATACAAGTCCTTTAACTTCTCTGATACTGGAAGGAGGGGAATAGCTCACTGGTACAGTATGTACCTAGCACGCAGAGGCCCTAGGTCCAAGCCACAGGATAACCCAAAAATTTAAAAAAAAAAAAAAAACTCTGGCTCAGCTGAGACAACATATGTGAAACACACTTTGTAGATTCCAAAGTGCTCTAGAAATGCTAATTATTATTATGCGTGAATTTATTACAACTGGAACCAAATGCTTTCTGGAATGCATTTATAGTTGTTTACAAAACAGCCAAGAGAGGGAATTCCCTTAATGAAAGAGTGGGTTGGGCATGTTTTACAGGAAACCAGCTTTCCATCCATCCTAGGAGGGGCTGTCTACAGTCTGCTACCCTGGGGCAGGTGCTTTTCGTCATGGAATGGGTGGTGTGGGCACCTGCTGGGGACCAGCCTCTTCTTCCTGCTCCTGTCCACAGGGCACACCCCCCATCAGCAATCTGCCCATCTTCCAGTGGCACTGGAGAAGTGGGTCAAAGGGGGGCCAGGTGAGCTAGGACTCTGGAGTCAGACAGCCCAGCGTTTCAAGTCCGGAGCTATGTGAGCATCCCCCCTTGTACAGACTGGTCATGCTCTTTAGATTCTTGGAGTCTCTCTTTGTTCCTAAATAATAACAGCTATTACTTTTCATGGCATTCTTATCATGCAGCAGGTATTATATTAAGTATTTATCTCGTCTACACCTTACACATCAACCCACGAGATACTCAATGCCTACATGGGGAAGTGGGGTCACAGAGGTTAAGAGACAGAAGTCAGGATTTAAGGCCTCTCTGGTTCCATGCAGCTAGGTAGCCTCTAGATCTTTGCTAGCTCCGATGCTTTACTACTACTTCGATTAACTATCGTGTAGCTGTTGGAAACTAGGAGATGCATTATCTCCTAGTTTCCAACAGCTACAGGATAGTTAAGAGAATACTCATTTGAGTTCGCTTTCTGGGTTCCAATCTCTCTGCCTTTTACTAGGAGGCATTGGGGAAGTCATTTCATATTTCTGAGACCCTATTTCTTCCTCTCTACAATAGGACAATGACAGCAGGAATACAGGGCTGTGTGAGGATAATGTAAAATGATGCCCTTTATAGCTTTTGGCACATAGTAACTGCTCATTAAAAGGCTCTTCCCTGTAGGCATCCCATCTAACCCAGTCTCCTCAGCATTTCTCTGCTCTAGCAGCTGTGGGAGACACTATCCACTCTGTAACAGTGGAGTCCATGCAACGTTCTGCTTAGCCTTGGGCTCCTTGAGGGGCAGAGAGGGATAACTGGAGAGGGCTAGGCTCTGGGGATCCTGCCAGCTCCATCACAGGGCAGACCTTCTCTTCTCTGCTCAGTATTCTGGAATTCTGCAGGAGACATTACTTAAAAAGAGTAAGAGTTTCCCATTTAATTTCTAGGAAATGTATAGACCAAATGAAAAAAATGGGCACATTTTAAAAATTTTAACCCTGAAAGGTGTACATTCTCCATTTCTTTCTTGTGCTTTCACCTGACTATGACTTCCAAAGATAATGCTTCAGATGGGCAACAGTGGGATGATGCTCCTGGTACAGTTTCTTCCCTCTTGTCCTCTGCATCTGCTTGTGGCTCACAGTCTCAGGTGATCTTGTTAAAAGTACCCATCAGGTAGCTGTGGACTGCGCCCCAGTTTGACAAGCTCGCAGGAGATTTCATAGACGCGGTCAGAGGTAAGCCTTGGAGAAACACTATTCCAAACACGGGGAAGTGTGGGTATGTCTAAAAACCTTTGAAAATTTCTTTTTTAAAGTGCTGAAAAACACTTTAAAGAAAATCTTATGGGGGGGCGACTGCTATGCATACAAACATGTCAACACCTTCACCACCTTGGTGAAGGTGGCTTTACGGAATACTACTTAACACCAAGCTTTGTGTTTTTCCTCAAGAAGAGCCCACAGCGCCTCCTTGTGGACCACTGGATCAACTGGAACAATTCTTCCTGGGTTGATGGCCTTCCCTCTCTAGGAGCTAGCTTCCAGGATTCCTTGCTGTACCAGCCACCCCAGCTAGGACTCTTTCCTTACGTGACCGGACACCTTGTGAGATCTTCATTCAGAACATGATCTTTCTAGGAACCCTCCCCTCCACATTTAATCCCATCTATGCTTTTTATTCCCACATCTCGCCCCAGAGGAGCTTCTGGAACCTCCTTTCCTCCACCTGCCATGGGACTTCTGCTCTATATAATGAAATCACTCCCTGTCCTGGTCTTCAGCTGTTTCTGGGACTCAAAATACATGCTCCCAAATATACCAAAATTAAACCGTAAGTTCCTGTGGTCAGAAAGCCCCTTCTCCCTTCATCAGACCCCTGACCCAGTGTTAGGCAAGTAGGCAGGACCTCAGGCACACCGGCTGAATGATGAACGAATGAATGACCCCTTATGCCTTTCCTTCACACCTTCCCCAAACCAAAAAAAAGCTAAGGCTAATCTCTGCTGTGATGGGATTTCAAGTTCTTCCTTATTTCAATTATTGTGAAGACTACCAAATTTCATTTGCATGAGATCAAAACTTATCTTTTGTTCTATATTATCTGTCCAGGCAGTTAATTAGAAGTTGAAATTCCCTACTGCTTTTGCGAGGAGGTGGGATCAGCTACCTATGTCTTTTTACCCATGGGGTGCTGCTTTCTATTGTTCAGCACCTATTGCTCTAAGACATCTTTACATTCTACGCCTTACACCACTGAAAAACCTTTCACTCAAAGCTTCCTGCTTTGTGTTCCTTTCAGTGTGATATTCATTACCCACGATTTCTTGAATCACTCTGTAGTAACATACATTTGACAAACACTCTACTTTTGCTTCTCCCTTTTTCCCATTTATACGGTTTGCTAATAGATGATGCATTGCTGACTGGGGCGTGTGTAGCTCCTCTGAGACTCGTGTCTTTAACTTATGAACTCAGACTGTGTATTGCTAATCACGATCTTGTTTCTTTTATCGGCCTGCTTTATGCTCCTTTGTGCTTCTTCTTCTACTCTTATTGCTCAAACTACTTTGCTTTCTTCTGCCTTGCAAAACATTTGAAAGATGAACACATTCTATTTTCACTCGGTTAGTGACCCTTCCGCTCCTCTTTGGTTCTGTAAAACGTCTTGGGTGACTGCAACAGTCTCTCAACCCTGTGCATTCCAGGTCCCTCCTGAGGAAGTTGGGCTCTCCCTTTGGTTCCAGTGGTTCTGGAGAACTTGGGAGGGAAAGATGTTGTGCCCTTATGGATGACAGTAACTGCTACACATTCCTGGTCCCTGGGGGTGGGGGTTGAGAGCTGGCTCCTTCACATCCCTTGGGAGGATCTCCCACACCGCCTCTCTACTACACTCAACTGGAGTTTTGAGCTTTTGTGTTGGCAGCTAAATCTGCTGAGTCCCTCCTCCTCAATTTCTGACACGTCTCTCCATGACTACACGGTTATTAAAGCAAGAGGGTGAGACAGAGTTCAGTGCTGGGCGGTGGTCCTGATCCTCTCTCGCTGCTCTGATGCTTTGAGCCTGAGATGGGGCCCCTCTGGCTGTACCCCATGAAGAGCACAAGCCTCACCTAGGAGTGCTCAGCACCTCTGCTGTTTGAGGTTTATGAACCCTACAGTCCTCTTAGTGAAAAAATAAGAGCTCGTGTCTCTGCTTTGCCTACAGTCCTCAGTGACAGCAGAGAAGCCCATGACGCGTGCAGCAGTGGCCGGGGTCAGCCCCAGGCACCTCTTACCTCAAACTGGATCAGCACCGTCCCACTTTCGAGGCCCTTCTTTAGCAGTTCCATGGATCCCTCCAAAGTGTTCCCACCCTCTGGACACATAGGGAAAATGGCCTCTGGGAAAAGCTGGTTCAGTTCATCTTCAGATTTGATCTCGGCAAATGAGTGGACAGCTGGAATGAAAAAGACAGAGCGTCTGGCTCACCACTGTGGCTGATCGGTTTCCCTGAAAAACTTACCCCACGGCACGGGGTGCAGATGGTTTACAACGTCTTATTAAATGATTAGGCACACGGTGATCACTTCACCAGGGACACGACTTCTAGGTGAATGATTCAGTATGTGGTAATTACAGAAAACAACATACTAATCTTTCTGGTTAGTTTTAAATGATGGTGTTTAGTACATGCAGGCTTTTCGACAAGGTAAGGAAAAAGGAAACGGAATGTTTTAAAAGGAAGCGTATCTTCTGTGCATGCTCTCTCTGGCCTGGTTATTTTTCTACCTATCCCTCTAACCCCGTCCCCCTCTTCTTAGGTTCTTTTCACTTACTATTTTCCCAGGCACCAGGAGACGGACCAAGCTCTCACTGTGACACCATCATTCCTGAAGCCCCAGAACCTTAACTCGAGGCTATTTCTATGTGGCAGGCTCCCAAGAAAGTGTCTCTTGTCCTAATGTCTCCTCTGTGCTTCAGCTTTACTTCTTCAAGTCCAAATTATCCCCACATCAAACTTATCAGGGGAAAAATTCTTATCAAAATACTTCTGTTTGTCTCTATTTCTTTATTCCATCTCTCAAACTGGAAGCTTTGGGATCACTTCTGAACTTTCTCAGTGGAAAGAGAAGTCACTCCCTCACTCAAAAGCCTTTTTATTGTTTTTTTTTTAAATGAAAAAAAATTGTTCAGACATACAGACTCTATATCCCTTTAAAAATTTTTACTAAACTATTAAACCATTCACTAGAAAAAATAATTATAACCCCCCCCCAAAAAAAGCCTTCAATAAGCCATGTGTGGTGGTGCACACCTGAAATCTCAGCACTGAGGGAGGGAGCAGGAGGACTCCCAGTTTGGGCCCCACTTGGGCAACTTAGGGAGATCCTGCCAAACAGATAGCGCGTTGGTTGGGTAGCGCAGTGGTACAGCATTCCTGGATTGAATCCCTAATATCACACACACACACACACGCCTTCAGTGGCTCTCTACTAATCTTTAAAATACCTGGAAAGAAGAACAACAACGTTTGGGTTTCCCCACACAGTTGAGCTGAATTGTCATAATTCTGAATGTTACCGTTCTTTCCATTTCACAGATGAGGAAGTGAGATCTCAGAAAGGGTACAATCATTTGTCCACAGTAACTCAGCCTGTCAGGGCAGGACACAGGAATTGCTGGCAATAGGTAACAGTCCATGGCCCGCTGACTCTAAGGACCACATTCTTCTCACTGACCACAGCAGCTCAGCTGTTCTTGTACTCTGTGATTTCTGTCCTACCTGTGACTCCCCATCCTAATGTCAGTATATCATTTTTCTTGTATCAATTCATGGTTTTACGGGGGCTGGGGATTTAGCTCAGCGGCACAGCACCTGCCTGGCAAGCGCGAAGTCGTATGTTCGATTCCCAGTACCAGAAAAAAACCAAAACAAACAAACAAAAAATTCATGGTTTTACATACATGCTTATGTTACAACAAACATATTATTACAATTACTAGAAAACTGGTGGCCTTGCTGCTTAGCTTTCACTGCCTACCCATACCTTTCCTCACCCCCATTATGATCAGCCCCTTGCTCAGGCCGACCTACTGGAGGCCTTTCCTGCTGCTCTGCACACCCAGCGCACAACAGGACACACCTATCATGTGATGGTGGCCTTAGGAAGGTGCTACGCTGCCCTCACATCACGTTTAAGGAAACTGACACGCAGCCTGGGTATGCAACTCCCTCAAGGTCCCTCAACCTGCAGGAGGCATCAGCCGAGACAACCAAGCTCCGCCCTGCCAGCTTCACTGCCTCCCTGACCAAATCAAGCACACAGGAATCATTTAACCCTATCCTCTGCGAAGGAACAGAGGCAGCTGAGAGTGTGACTGAGCTGTGCCTGGCCGGGAGGAATCAGGGGGCTCTCGCCCTCTATAAAAGAACCGTGGGGCTGCCTCGCTCCAGAGAACGTGCCACAAGGGGTCAGTCCCCATCCCGGGCAGGCACATCTTCAAAATGAGAAGCCAGTCATTCTGGTTGTTGGGTGAAAATCCTTTTCAAATGTTGGCTATAGATCCAACATTTTCAAAAGCCCAGCAGAGGCTGAAGAAGATGCTGCTTTTGCAGGCCTGCATCCTGCGGCTCCTCCTCCTGTGGGGGTTGTTACCTTTCCTCCTGATCACCAGGGCCAGTTCCCTCGAGTGGGACTCCCGGCTGGCTTTGATGAACATCACCACCTGGTCGTGGGTGTGTTCTGAGATGTCCCGGCCATTGATCAGCACAATCTGATCCCCTTCGTTCAGCTTAGGAATGCAGGTATCGGCCTGGTGGAGGGAAGCGAGTTCTCCGTTACCATAACACCACCCTCCAGGGAATAATTCTGAGGCCTCGGACGCCAGGCCCTGGGGACTGTGATCAAGCTTATCTTCCCTCCCCAGGTATCGCTGTCATCATTTTTACATACACTGCTGTGTGGACATGGTAGTGGGGTGTGAGATTTCAAAGATGTGCTACTCAGAATGTAAGTTATGAAATATTTCTTAACTAGAGAACTGCTAAAGCCACTTCTCTTGGGAGCCGATCTTTGCTTACTGTCCTAATGATGGTAGTGCTTCCAACCGTTTATTTTCTGGAGGTACTGTTAGAAAATGATTTTCCAGCTACAAGTAAGAATGTATCTGTCTTGCGGCAGAGAAAGGAAGCCTTTGTCAGCAGCAGCTGTTATGGAGCTGAGTGAGAAACAGTGTAAGAATGAAAGCTTCCTTAATCCCCAGAAATCATAAATAGTGACAAAATGTATACAACAAGCTTACTGACTACTTAACAGGAAAGCTCCCAAGCAGTTCCCTCTTGGAAGGCACAGCAGTTCTTTGACGGTCTACTGCTTTGAAAAAGCAGATTATCATAAGGTAATTGGAAGGTGATAGATCTGTCTGACCATAGTAATTGTTTCAGTATGTATAAGTACATCCTGCTGTACCCCTCAAATACATACAATTTAAAAAACAACCCCAAAAGAAAACAAAGCCAATGAACTCCTTAGGAGGCCTTGGCAGAGAGCTGGGGCAGGACTGGTGGTGAGACAGCAAGAAGGGAACCCGAGATCATGATTCTACTCCAAACATGCGAAAGAGCAAACCTGCTGCCTCCGTTTCCCTCCCTCCAGTAGTATTTCCCAAAATTCAATATGCACATAAAACACCCAAGGGTCTGGTTACAAATGCAGATACTGGGTCAGCAGCCTGCTCGAGGGTCTGAGGTTTGGCATGTCTACTTAGGTCTTGTGTAATACAGGTGTTGGGGCAGCCTCAAGGGCCACACTGAGCAGGAAGGTTCTAGAAAACGTGAGTTTTCTTCTTTCCATCTACATGTATTTGCTGTTGTAGAGAGAAAGAGTGAGAGATAAGAGTAAGGGTGGGGAGGAAGGGAGGGAAAGGAGAGGGGAGAAGAAGGAAGATGAGGGGAGAGGAAGGGAGACGAGGGGAGGAGGGGGAGAGGGCAAGGAGAAGAAATGGCACACAGAAATCAAACTCCAGCAGATTTATGGGAAAGCAAACGCGAGCCGCAACCTGGGACATGTTTACTCACAGGTGACTCTGGGTTTATCCTTGAGACTACAAGAGGCATCTTTTGATCCACTCCTCCCTGCAATGTTTTAAAGTGAAAAGACACTTGAGTTGTTCGTAGCAAGAAAAGACAGGCAGATACCAACGAATGTGAGTCTTCTGGCCCAGGGGAGGCCTCGAACTTGGCCTGTGCCAACCACAGGTCTGTCCCCCCTTTCAGAACCACAGAACACACTGCTGACTCCGCCACACCTGCAGGGCCAACCAGAAGAGCTCCGCTCAGAGGCCTCCCCTGCCACCCCAGGTCCATGAAGATGTACCCAGAGGGTGCGGGCTCCGTGTTACCAATGCCGACACCCCCAGGAGAAGGGCGCTGCAAGCTGCTGGGAAAGGCAGGTCTCAGTGGAGGCAGCGAGGCCTTGGGAAGGGTCACACATGTATGAGCAGAGTGAGGGAGGGGTAGGCATGACGGCAGCCGGGGTGGCCGGCAAAGACTGCCTGCTCCTACTTGGCAGGGAAGCCTTCTCTGTAAAGAGTTGGGGAGAGGAAATTTTAGGCTTTGTGGGAACGAGGATGCTGATGTAACAGCAGTTCTGTAACACTTGCAGAGCTGAATAAGGGGGCTGGTGTCTTTTAACAAACACCTTTGATCGGGTGTGTAACTGCTATCAACTACCCTTGGTATTCATAGGTTTAAAAATACTGTTATCACTGCTTATTTTTAAGAGCTCAATAAGCTGGCATAAATCTAGTGCATGGCAAATGTCAGGCACAGAGCAGGTTCTTAGTATGAGGCAGTTGCTGTGGCCATATCAAAAACTCCCAGTTCTGAGGGCCGAGCTGGTCTCTTCATGTAGCTGAGGTATGCAGTATGTTTCTAAAGAAAATGACAAATTCACCTGTTTTATGCCGCAGCCCCCCCAGCATAAAACCTCCTTATACATACAGACAGCGTACCTTCAGGTTAAATCCAAATTTTCCATCTTCATCTGGCGTGATACGGATCAAGACTAAGTAGCTGTCACCATTATCATTCTGGAAAACATTGGACAGTGGTCACTGACATTATTCCCTTTCCAGTGCTTGATGATCATTTCTTTGGGTCATGATTACTTAGCTGCCTGCCCACGGGGTGGGTCCCCTGGCCACTTCCACGTGGCATGACCTGAGCCACTGACCTTGTCACAGTAGTACTGGCCAGTGTCCTCAGTGGAGCCCCCTTTCGTCACCCTGTGGTAGTCCTCTAAGAACTGCTGGTCGACCCCATCTGATGAGCAGGAGCCTGGAGCATTTGAAGATGGAGACACAGAACTGGATGACTTCTGGGTCAGGCAGCTCTGTGCTGGGTTGTTCTCAGATAAACTCCTTCAGCATGGAGAAAGAAGAGATATTTTAATAACTGGATTAATATGTTGTCAGAACAAACACTGCTGACTGCTGGGGTTTTTACCGACCCCTGGAGCCTTAGTAGATCTGCAGTGTCAACTGAAGGGCTCTGGTACACTCAAGAGTCCTCAAGCCACCCCTGCTGATTGAGGATAAAGGGACCACAGAAGGGCAGGGTGGACCCATGAGGTGCTAGAAACTCAGTTCTCTCCCATCTGCTTTAAAACACTGGTGAGGAAATGGGTCCAGCCACTAAGGAGGTTTAATTATTTTAGAAAAGGAGCTGTGCTATGCTGCCCAGGCTAGCCTCTAGCAATCCTCCTGCCTCAGCCTTCCTCGTAGCTGAGACTACAGGTGTGCACCACTATGCCTGGCTCTGGTGGTTTAAGTGTTGAGCCAGACTCTGTCAGCAAGGTCACATAAACAGACACGTCCCCATCTCTTCTGGAAACTTTCCTTCCATCTCATTCCTGCTGCTAGCTCTGCTCCATAGGACTCTGTGCTACCCAAAGGAGCAACTGCTTCATATTCAGGGTAATTTCCACCTCTCCTACTTTGTATCCTTTACTTGTGGCATCCAAGAATTGTCCACACGGAGATCATGTGTTTTTATTTTTCTCCATTTAACGTAGGTCCTTCTATATCTGAGGGCTGCACTGTCCAGTATGGTAGCCACTAGTCACATGTGGCTGTTTCAATGTAAATAAGATGCGAAGAGTCAGTTCCCAGTACCAGCCACAGCTCACACACACAATGGCCACATGTGGCAGGTGGCTCCTGTACTGGCTCCACCCTCCTACAAGTTCTGTGGAGCACCACCGCCTTAGAAAGTTACTGCCAACCGGACCCTACAGCACTGTGTGGTTGCCTGCTCCAACTCCCACCCCACAGATGAAGACTCTGAGGCTGAGGAGGCTGAGTAACATGCCCAATGTCACACAGCTTCCCCGTCTCCTAGGAGACAGTGGTCTAATGCACCGAGTAGCAAGCATTTCTTTCCTCTCCAGGCCGTGCCACGTCTGCTCCTGAGACACCCTGGCTCTGACCTCACACAGCCATGGGGTCCACCATCCCCTTCACCATCACATACAGCTGAAAGGATGCTCAGCTGCTCTGAATCATCTGCGCAGCCTCTTCAGAGCCATGGGGAGTGAGCAGGCATCTTTAATATGGGCTTTTCTTGCATTCTACAGATTCTGCTTCCTCCTAGTCCCACAGAAGTGAAGACAGGAAGTGAGCAGAAAGTAGACAAGAAAGAGGAGGCAGCTGCTTCTCACTCTCATCCATGGATTGTTCATTAAAATGGTGCTTCTGGTTTCTTTCAAGTTCAAGTAGCTTACTGTGTGTGTGTTGGGGGCGTGGGCTGGGGATGGAACCCAGGGCCTTGTGCATGCCAGGCAAGTGCTCTACCACTGAGTCACACCCCCAGCCCCAGTTCTACGTTAATAAGAGCACCACCCAATGGTGGAAAGGGCAAGTGCTGAAGCCCAAGCATTTAGGAAATGCTATTTCTAGTTCTAGGGCTGGACTTGAACCTTTTGTAGGAAGAAGTCGCCAATAGCGTGTACACGTTAGGATGAGTCTACAGGGTGAGGGACAGCAGTGGAATGCAATGGTAAAGCCCGATGAATTCTGCTTATTTAAATTTTAAACTGGATTTCAAAGTGTTTTTCTGTGGGTGTGTACTTAACTATAAGAGATTTAAAAGTTTTTTTTTTTTAACTGAATGGTCTGCCTAGAACAGCTTATAGTACTAAATAATATTGATACTACTACTACTACTGTATTCACACTAATAAAATATTCAAAGTCATCCTATGTCTCAACCTGTTTCCTAAGTAAGTTTTGAGAAGTTACTTTAGGGAGCAATTTATTTACACAAATGGCTGAGTTTTGGCCTCCTCAGCTATGTACAGAGGTGGTGTGCAGGGCACAGTGACTTCAGCTCATTGTGTAGGATGGATGGACAGATGGATGAGCGGCAGCACAATGAATGACACAAATGACATGGTGGCAGCTGGATAGAGCACTGGCCTGCCGGGAGTGGTGATGTCAACACAACAGGCTCCTCCCTCACTTGCAGGACTCCCGGTGAGCTGAGGTGGGACAAGTGGGCAAGGAGAGAGAAGGAAGTGGGGCAAGGAGAAGAAGGACTACCTCGTGGACCAGGTTCCACAGGGGCGATCATGAGAAAAGGGAGGAGGGATGGGATGAGGGACAGAAGATGACTTCATGGGTGGGACAGAGGTGATGCCTGGGGGAGGAGGAACAGAAGCAAGAGTTTGTCCTCAAGGCAGGAAGAAGATGTCAGACAGACCATTCTTCAGTTCCTGGGGAGAAAGGGACAGAGACAGAATGTCCATCAGATGCTTCAGAACTGCAGATGCAATTGGCATTGGAAACAAAACCTGCGCATGAATTCACTTCTCTAGAAAGCAGCGACATTAAAGAAATGAAAAACAATGAAGTTTCCCATGAAAAGAAGATGCTCTCCCAAAAGGGGTGGCCGATGCTTCTAGCAGTTGCAGGCGAGTCGTACTGAAATAATGGCGTCCTGCGCCCAGATAAAGGCAGCATGAGATGGGCATGAGGTGAGGGTGGAGACCGAGCCAGGCTGGGTCCTGGATGTCTGTGAGGTGCTTGCCCACATGCAAGTGGGCAAGGCCAAGTGAAGGTCATCAAGGTGCAGGGGAAATGAACACACCCACAACATACGAACCCCTGCTCCTGCCAGTGCCCTCCCAGGAGACCCTGGACGGCACACACACCCTCTCCTGCACTTGGATCTGTGGCCCTCTCTGCCAAGGGGCTGATATGCACCCAAGAAATGGTGGCAAAGACAGCAAAGGGCAAGATGGTCACAGGAACTGGGATTAACTCAGAGAACAGTAGCCAGCCCTATCACATAGAACTGGAAAGAGACGCCACATATGTTGTTTCAGGGGCTCAGGACAGGAACCCATATGCTAGCTTAGAGTCTAGAGATGTCCAGCACAGTTTGGGAAGAACATTTGGTCTCAGTAGTCGTGGTGGACTGGCTCCTGGATCACAACCCCCACCGCCATGCCCAAATCCAGGATGTTCAAGTCCCTTATATATAACGGCACAGCATCTGCAATAACCTACACACGTCCTCCTGGACACTAGAAGCCATCTCCAGATGACCTGAGATACCTAATCCGATGTAAATGCTCTGTATGTACTTGTTACACTTTTCCCTCTTCCCCACATGGAAGATGTATCCCAGGGTTACCTCAGTGAGCTACATCTCAGCCCTTTTGTATTTTTATTTTGAGACAAGGTCTCACTAATTGTCCAGGCTGTGCCCAACTGCCTCATTACAGTGTACTGTTTAGGGAATGACAAGAAAAAATAGTCCATACATGCTCAGTACTGAGGCAGTACTGACACAGTAGGGCCATCACAGGCCCGATTACATTTTGGATGTGTGGGTGGTTGAATGTGTGGATGCTGGACCTGTGGATGGAGAGGGCTGATCTCCAACAACCAGAGTGTCCAACACAGCACGCTGCTGCTCCTGCACACTGCAGGGCGCTCTCCCTCAGTCCTGTGCTTCTCAGGCCCGGGAGCCCGGGCGACAAGGCCAAGGGAATTCCCACACTGTCAATGTGGCTGAGGAAGGGGATCTCTGAGGTCTCTTCCAATGTACACATGTTCTGAAATATAAAGTGACAGCTGCCCCACATCCTGTGGAAGGGATCAGGCTCTACAGAAGACGCAAACAAACGTAAAGAAGTTGAAGGTGACAGGCAACAATACTCTGACTAGCCTTCCATGCTGGTGACCTGTCAAAACAATTCTGATACTAAAATAACAACTAAAAGTCTTTTGAATACAACTCTAAATGGCCCTAAACTTCGTTTTGGCCAGTGTCGTCTTCTCTGCAAGCCAGTTTTTCTTTAAGCAGTTCTCCTTTGTATCAGGTGGGAGGTGGTGGGGGTTTTGTTTTTTGTTGTTTCCCTGAAGAAAACTGACTTCTCTGCAGAGTCTGGTTTTCCCCTGAAAGCAAGGCAAGGAACACTGAAAGGCTGATAGAGCGACAGGAATAACAAAAGTGCACAGCCTCCTTGGGCACAAAGCACACTGCCAAGGCTTCAAAACTATAATCATAAACTTGCAGTGCTGCTATAAATACAGAACAAACCAGAGTGACTCATCTGCCGGAATAATGTTCAGACAGCCGGAGCTGTGCCACTTTGGGTGGAGATCCAAAGACTAACCACTCTTTTTCTCTCTTTCTTCTCCGTTTTTAAGTGAGTACAGAACATTACACTTAATTCTTCGTCTTAAAAGGAACCCTCCTCGCTGTCTGTGATATTATTCATCTGATTTCTCTGACAGAATGCTTCTTTTTGCCTTTTCACACAATCTGCTACAGAAAACATGTCAAACTTTTTCTTAAACATTTTGCAAATATTCACTGAAGTTCCAGACGCAAGTCTTTCTCACCAAGTACAGACCAGCCTGTACCTCTTGCCTGGAGCAGCAGAGGGTCCCTAGGTGCTCAGGGAGGCCAGAGGCCTTGAAGCCCCAGGAGAAAGCAGCTTTATACCTGCAGGAAGAGGTCTTCCACCTAACTGAGGATGCGGTACGCTGTCCACCAACCACCTGTCCCCACTTGCAAATTACAGCCTCTAACGTGATTCCCCAAGTGGCCCACTGTCAGTGCACCCCGCAAAACCTCCGCAAGGAAGGCTGTCTTAACATCAGCACTGTGTGCTGCTTTTAATATTTAGCTGCAAAATGAAATCGTGCCTCGGGAAGACATCTTACATGGTCTCGTGGAGAAATTTCAAAGAGAATCTGCATGAACCGTACAGAGTAAGCAGGGCTAGAAATCGCTGAAGTCAACGAAGCCTGAGGAAAGAAGGTCTAAATATTATTTTATTTTCCTCAACTTAGTTGTGAACAACCCTATGTGAGTGTTGGCTCCGATAAGGCACTGCAGATATCTAGATGAGCTACCATTCCGTGTGACTGAAGAAAAAGGAAAGACTGATGTAGGACATGCAATCAGACGTCTCTGCAACCTCAGACAGTTCTCCAGACCTTCTCTTCCCTTCACCAAAGCGACAGAGCCCTATTCTGTGAAGATAAAGGTTGGTTAGGGGCCACCAGCCTGGCTGGCCTGGAAGAGCCTGAAGGCAAACCGTGCCTAGTCTGTTTCTATGCTCTCCCCTCCAGGGCCAGCAAAGGGTGTATAAAGTGTGTTGTCAGACTCAGGGATGAGGGAGCCCCATAAAGCGTTCCCACGTCATTGAACCAAGGCGCAGTTAGGCGCAGTTCCCCAGCGGACACTGACTAAGCGGTGAGACCTCAGACAGTGCCGTGCCACAAGCGCTCTTGGAGGCTGTCAACCCGTCTTGGGGCCACTGTCATCAGCAAACAGCTTGGGTGAGAGGTGGCAAGTACTCCCACTGCAATTCAGGCGATGATGTCTGACTTGCAACTTAGCTTTTGGGAAATGTCCTTTCTCTTTGTATATATCATGGGAGTTCACGTCCCTTCCAAGGAATAAGAGAACAAACTTCTCAGGCTACGTGAGTGCTGTCAACAGCACTTTCTGCATCGAGGGGATTGGGCTATATCTGTGCTGTCCAAGGTGGTAGCCACCAGCTGTGGTTTGACAGAGCACTTAAAATGTGGCATGTGTGACCGAGGAAGGTGATGCTTACATTTGGATGGATTTTTTTGGCTTAAATCTGCACAGCCAGCCATGGCTGGTTGCTACTGTACTGGACAGTGCAGGTCTAGATGCCCTATGGTCCCATGCTGGGTCTGCAAACCATGTAGGAAGCTCTGGGTCATGTGTGTGTTTCCCTGAGCCTTTGGGCGGTTCCCTAAACCCTCCTGTCCTTTTGCTGAAGTGACAGAGCCCAGAGCCCACAGAGGTCTCAAACTGGCCTGAGCTGTACATGCCTGTACTTTAGCATTTCACTTGTTGGTCTGATTGTGGTCTGCAAAGCCGCAGGGTTACCCAAAGAAACTCACACCCATCCACTGTAGCCTCCACGACGGGGCAGCAGACTGCAAGCTGAGGTGTGAGACAGTGATCACTTCAGCAAAAGCATCATCAACACAGGTCACCAGGCAATAATGACCCCAGGGATTACTGAACCAGAGGTGTTAAGAATACAGATAAGCTGAAGACCGTGTTTTCTGTGGGCAGGGACAGAGCAGTGGCAGCAGGAGCACATGCAAGGGAAAGAGATCTGTAATTCACCTGCGAAGGCCTAGCAAGGCAGGACGCACTTAATGCTTTAAGCCTAAGAGCTACACGGTAAACATGTGCAGATTAAAGTGTCTCTTGCTAATCCTTTGCTGGTATGGGAGGAATTACATTTCCAGATTTTGGCCACAGTTTGAGATTCAACAGAATGGTTAACATTTCCAGATTTTGGCCACAGTTTGAGATTCAACAGAATGGTTACCCAATGCCTGAGGTTGGCTTCCTAATAGTTTATCTTTTCATATCATACATCATCCTAAAATGTCACACAGTTTATGGCCTATGTCTTGTTTCTTTCAGAAAATGATTTGAGACTGCCTGCTCTAGAACATGTCTTTGGCTTCTAAAATGTGTACCCGTTTGGCCTGAACAACGAAGGAAAGGACGGAAGTGGAAAGATAAGGGCTGGGCTGACAGAACTGAATGTAAGGGAGCGTAACACGTGGCTCTGAGCTCCTTGGCAATCAAGGCAATTAACGGATAGGCTGTTACTGGACCACAAAAGGTCTCAACCCAGTTAGCTCAGCGGCACAAGCACCTGTCTGACAAGTGCAAGGTCCTGAGTTCGATTCCCCCTGGCATTCATCAGTGAGGAGAATTTGTCACATTAAGAAAAGGAGATAGGGACACAGATGTAGAAGCAACTGTCCTTGACAAATATCTGACAGGGAGATAAGGAGGGTTCTAGCTTATCTTTTTCTTTATATACTATTAATTAAAACCAAAAGAACACCAAAACCCTGAGGGCATATTCCTGTTCTTAGAAGGCTTTTAGCAGTAAGCACATTCCCAGTGATCTGAATTCACGAGAGAGGAATGCGTTGATAATCTAGAGAAATCACAGCTCACATGGTCCCAGTCTTTTCCTCTGCGAGACAGAATGACTTAGGTTGGGCTTTGCTTGTGAACTGGAGAGGAGGCTATACACGAGATGAGGGGCACCTGCAGAGTAGGTCTCCACCACAGACAAGGAGTGTGATCTCAGGCTCTGGGTACACAGGTTGTCTCCTGCGTGGACAGGCCGAATGACTGATGCTCTTACACTGGCAGACAGCAAGCACCTTTGGAAGCTGGCTACAGGCACCGGCTCTTGACTCTTCTCAAAATGCATATTCCTCAGCAGTCAAATAGCTAGAGATACACAGAAAGAAGAGAAAAGCACAAGATTCTTACTCTCGGTGTGGGCTGCGGTTCTGAGAAACTTCGGAATCGCTGTCTTTGGGGGACAGGGAGCCCTTGTAGGTGTAAAACACGTCTTCGGTCTCTGTAATGTACGTCATCTCGTTTGCGAGGTTATCCGCAGAGGAGTGGCGGGGTTTTCGGATCTCATGCCGGAGCCGAGGACTTCGCCTGGGTGGAGAGAGGTAGGGTGTAGAGTGGTGAAAGCAAATTCCTTGTGGGAGGATCACCTCAGGTCACTGACCTGACTCTGTCCTGGCTTCTCTAATGGCTGCAGAAAATCAGAGCCAGACAGCTTGCTCCTGAACCCGCAGAATACACCCAGCACGACAGAGATCCCTACCACGCAGCCCAGGGGAGCGGCCCTCAGAACTGTAGTCTCAGCTTGTAAGTGGGCAGCAATAGACTGCAGTATGCCCTTTGGTCAACGAGTGCTGATCTAGCATGACTTCTGGAGCTCTCAAGACATAAGCAATCAGACAAAAGCTCATCAGACAATTCTCACCAATGTGAACGATGTACATAACAGGTTTGGAAACCAAAGATTTTATCTTGGTGAACCTTACTTTAACTACATTCATGCATGTGAATTCTACCTGATCCCAGAAGGAATGTTTGTTTTTTAACTACAGCCCTTAGTAAACACGTCACGAGATGGGCATGTGCAGGCCACCCTGTTCTCCAGTGGCAGCAGTAGCTAAGAGACCTTAGGCATGTCCTGTCACCTGCCTGGATCTTAACCGTGCTCCTGAGAATGAACCAGATGAGGCACTGTTCTCAGCACTGGGGCGACTGTCTGCAGTGGGTGGTCCTTGGTGCTCTATTTTCCCTCACAGTTTTTCCGTTGTTACTCACTTCTCCTTGGGCCTATCAGAGCCTCTGTGACCTGGAGTGCCCCTGAACCGGGATCATCAATAATGCTGTGTTCACCACAGACGTGAAAAGGTGTTGTGATCCCACTGGGAGAGGATCTACAACAAGCCAGAGCTCCAGGCTGCAAGTGTGGCAACACCAAACCTGTCAAGGATAGTTTCTTCTAAATCCTTCTACATGTCCCTGTCTCCTTTTCTTATGAGACATGCTCCTCATTTATCAAGGCCAGGGGAAAAGTATGTCTCTTCTAAAGGCTCGAGTCCTTTCGTTATTCAGTAACAGACAGCTCATCCCTTAGCATTCCTTTTGTGCCTGGATCCCATCATTTCTCTGGGTCCCTGGCATTGCTACTTAAGGGACTTCCAGATAAATGAAGCTACTACTGTATTGCACAAATTTAGCCCTTAAGGTGAAATGCCTACAACTGGAAAGCCAAGAAACAAGTCTATTTATCATGACATGATTTCTGAGAGTGAATACCATCACTATCCCTGGCCGGAGAATCTGGACCCTAGAGGAGGGTCCACACCTAGCAGGCCCTGCGCATTACCTTCTCTGTTTACCTCTGTCTTCGTTTCCCTTAGTCCTAACAGATCCTGGTCTGGGAACTTACAGGCCTATCCATCTTGCATCTTTTTCTCCCCTTAGGTTCCACATATTAGGGAAAACATGTCATACTCGTCTTTCTGAGTTTGGCTTATTTCACTTATTACGATGAACTCTAGTTCCACTGATTTCCTTGTGAATGATGTAATTTCTTTACAGCTGAATAATACTTCACTGTGTATATATACACACAATTCCTTTCTTCATTCATATGACAGGCACCTAAGCTAATTCCATATCTTGGCTATTATGATTTGCACTGCAATAAACATGGGTATGCAGATGTCTTTACGGTGTGCTGACTTTAATTCCTTCAGATATATGCTGAAGCATGACAGAGCTGGATCATATAACAGTCCTATTTGTTTGAGAAACCTCCAAACCAATTTCCATAGTGGCTGTACTAATTTACATTCCCACCGGCAGAATAGAAGGGTTCCTTTTCACCTGCATCCTTGCCAGCATTTACAGCATTTGTATTCTCTGATGATAACCATTCTGGCTGGGACGAGATGGATGAGATGGAATCTCAATGTAGTTTTGCTCTGCATTTCTCTGATCACTAAACATGCTGTACTTTGGCCACGTGTACCTCCTTGAGAAGTGTCTGTTCAGTTCACCTGTCCATTTATTAATTGGGATCCTTCTTATTTTTTTTTTTTTTGGTCGTAAGCCCATTTTTCTTTAAAGTCACCCGGCTGATCCTGTGGGGAGCTGTGGGACAAGGTTTAGCTGCTTTGTTTCCCCTTCTGTTGATGCCTGACCTTTTTAGAGACATTCACAAAAATGGGCTGATGTCTTTGAAGATCATTATAGTAAAATAACAATAATGAAACAATTTTACCTGATGCTTTAGAAGTGTAAGGTTATACAGCACTTGTACATTACTAAGTTCTTTGTGGTCATTTTGATAACCTTTTTATAGATAGGTAAATGGAGGGGCTGGGGATTTAGCTCAGCGGCAAAAGTGCCTGCCTGGCAAGTGCAAGGTTGTGAGTTCGGTTCCCGGTACCGGAGAAAAACGAAAAAAAAAAAAAAAAAAAAAGATAGGTAAATGGATATTAGAGAGGGAAAGAAACTTTTTAACAGAAGAGACAAAAGCTGAGTACATGACTTTTAGCTGAAAACACAAACAGCCACAGCCTTTCGTTTTCCCTTCCCCTTCTCTGCCTCTCTCGTCCCCCCTCTCTCCCTTCTCTCCCTCCTCCTTTTCCTCTCTCTCCTTTCCCTCTCCCTCTTTTCTCCCTTTCCCTCTCCTTTTTTATCTGTGCAGGGGATTAAACCCAGGGCCTTATGCATGCAAATCAAGAAGTCTGCCAATGAGCTACACCTCCAGGGACAGGAATAGAGCCTTCTTTTTAAGTTGAGTCTGTCCTCCTAAAAGCTGGCAGGCTATTTTTCTATGTGCATTTGCTACTGTTGCTGAGGGTCACGTATGCTTACATCCTTTGCATCATGTACTTTTATTGGCTTCCCCCAAAGTTTATTCTGTGGTATGTTAGTAGGAAACACAAGATTAAATAACGTTACAAATGCTTCTTTACTAAAGGACTTCTCAGAGCATTTAATATGCTAATATGTGCTGTAAGCCCAAGCACATTTCAGCCAGCGACATTTTCCAAATTTATTGAGATCAAATACATTTTAAAAAGGAGCATTTCAGGAACACAGCAGACGAGGACGAATGACTTCTAATGTTCTAGTACACTCAATTGACAGCAATTAATTATATATTTCAAAACAGCTTGTAGAGAGGTTCTCAAATGTTTCCAACACAAAGAAATAATAAATGCTTGACGTGATGGATACATCAGTTATACTGATCTGATCATTACATATCACATATGTATAATAGAATGTCATACTATACCTCATAAATGTATATTATGTCAATTAGATTTTTTTAAAAAAATTAAAGAAGAGCATCTCAGCATTATACACTATGGAAATGTTTAGTTAGACTTGTATACTTCAGGGTAACAGTTACTTCTCAACAGACTAAAATGCACACGTAGACTCCGATTGCCGATCAGCTGTATGTTTAGAAATATATAAGCTGAGTTTGTATTTTTAAAAGAGAGTACTGTCTCTTGGTGAGTGGTACAAAGGAGGACTTACCAGTTGGGGGTGATTGGAGGGGACCGGGAAGGCAGGCTCTTGGTTTCTAGATGTTCTACTGACAAGGACCTCCGCATGGCCGGGTTCCATACCATGCCTCCAATCAACTTCTTGCAGTATTGGTTATTTACAGACCTGGAAAACCACAAGCAGGTTCACTTCCCACATGGACATGTTCAACAGCAAAGAAACCGCAGCACACAGGAAGCACAGTCTCCCCACACTTTTTCTCTGTCTATTGCTGCTCAACACCTGTATGACGCCAACCAGGGTGATACGAGTGGAGGAGGACTGGTCTCCACAGAGTCCTTTCTGTCCTGGCTCTTCCAGATGTTATTTCTTCTCTTTTGGTGAAAATGCTTTTGTGTCTCTGCTACTTTAAGTCACTAAAATGCTTCTAGAATATAACCAAGCCTTACCAGATTTGAAGGAATGTTAGGTTAGCATGGAAAGGGCATGCAAGTAACTTCAAGGGATTCTTTACTCACACTGGCATGAATACAAATATTAACCACCCTTCCAATGCTCCTTGTCATTCTGGCTGGCAGATGCCATCACCATAAATCACTGGTAACTCTCTGACATGGAACCTAAGAATATACTTAGTATAGTTTCAGGTCATGTTCTCCAAATGTGCTACCCAGAAGCCTTCTGGATTTTATTTATACCTAGAGAATTTAAGTCTTAGAGATAAACTGTCAAGAGAGAACAGTCTGAAGCCCATTTAGGGGTACCACTTTGAGTTCTGGTATTTCAAATTTTAAACTATGCTCTAATGTCTTATGAAAACATTCCACACATTTCCTTGTATTCTAAAACCAACCAACCAACCAACCAATCGACACAAGCAAAGGAGAAAAACAAACAAACCAAACTAGACTTCCTCCGGAATATCAAGAATTGATGTACAATAATAAATGGTACTGTCACCCTGATCAACATGCTCACAGTGGCAGCTCTAGGAGAATTTTTCTTCTGAGGTCACTCTACATTAGACACCACATGACCGTTAAGGACACGGGATTAAAACACGGGGAGCAAGCAGCACGAGTCTAGGGTTTAATGCAGCAGATCTCCAAAGCATGTGTCACAGGTTATTAATAGGGACTCTGAGGAACAGTGCTCCATTGTCCCATAAGCTTAGAAAACACTGACTTGGGAACTTCATACGGCTCCAATAAGCAAATGTGTGGCAGTGTCTCTATGGGTAGGCAAATCACATATGGTCTCTAAGTCTCAGTTTCCTCACCTGTAAAATAAGTAGAGCTAATGGTAACTGAAATTCACAGTATGCTACTGCCCCCACCTCACCCTTATGCTCTGAGTGACTCCCTGCAGCAAAGATGGCTGCTACTTCACTGACTACTAATTCAGGGCTACCTGTGACTGCTTTAACTAACAGAAGCACTGTGCCAATTCTGGGCCTCACCCTTAGGAGGATGGCTGCGTCTGCCTTTGGCTCTTGCAGCCCTGAGCCTCCATGGAGGAACTTCAACTGCTCTGCTGCAGAGCCCTCCTGGAGTCCAGAGAAGCCCAGGTGTGTCAATTCCTTCAACCACCAGGCAGAGAGAGAAGCTGTCTTGGACCTTCCAGGCAAGTGCAGCCACCAAATGCATGATCCTAAAATCTTGTCTACACATGCAGCAGAAGAGTCATCTGGCCAAGCCCTTCCTGAACTCCTGATCCACAACATCTTGAAATGTAAGCGAGTGGTAGTACTTTAAGCCATTAGGGCTCATCTGTCATGCCACAAGAGATGACTAGAACCCAGCCTCCCGCACTGGCTGCAGAGAAGGAAGTTTTGTAGATGAGGAAGTTCAAGTGACAGAGGAAGGGTTTGAGCCTGGTGGCTGAGCACTGGATGCTAACTTGGATCTGGCCTAGGGGACCAGATCCAACCTAAGTCAAGACTACATTCCCAGAAACTTACTTGGGGGAAAATTGCTCCATTTTAATTAATTCACAAGCAATAACTTCACAACAAGTGGTTTAAAGAGGCTGCACAAACAAACATGTGCCCAGCTCCTGGTTCTGTACTACCTCTGTGAACTTCTTTGTCCTGGGATCACCCTCTTCCACTGCCACTGTGGAGCAAGGAAGCTGTCATTAGGAGCGAAGAAGGGTCACCAGTGGTTTTACGCCATATATTTTTAATTGTATTTTTATACTAAAGTAAATTGGTCATGAGAGCCAATTTTCCAGGTCTTCAATCTGAACTTCTTGATTAGAAAGATCATTTGTAAGTCTGCACTACCTCAGCACCTCACTGCCACCCTCACAGGGCTGGCTTAATGCCACTCTGGATCTGGGTACACTCCAAAAACTGTTCTGTCTCACAGAAGTATGGGCCACGAAACTGTCACCACTGCTGTGCCAGCGGGGTTTCCTGAGTCTCTTGGTAAGTGACGTCAGGCCTTGAGGGATCAGTGTCACTCTGTCTGCCAAAGTCCCCAAGATGGCATGACCCAGTGTATGCAAGTGCCCACAGGCCCACCAACTGCAGTGGCTGCCACCTAGGCCATCAAAGCTGGCTACCAGGATGTAGCAGTGGGTGAGGCCACTGCAGATGGCAGGGCTGCTGCTGGTGTTGCCTTGGGCACAACTCTCCTCCAAGGGGCCAAGTGGGGCTTGGGCATGCAGTGTCATCATGAGTGTACAATGCCTCTGTATCTCAAAATGCCTCCAAAGAGTGTTCTTATGACCTGTTCAATAATCGCTACTGAATGCAACAAAATACTAGACAGTACTACAAGAACTAAAAATTTTAAAAATAGATTTGCTCTTGGCTCATCAGAAGCTGAAAGGGAATATTAGCACCGTAAACAGTGTCACTCGTAGTAAAAGCAATTTGCCACTTACTGAATATGGAAGTTACCTCTGACTGTCATGCACTAGCAAAGCCATTCCTATTACAGACCAGCCTGATGCAGTTTCACGCATCAGATAATGGGTCAGAGGTGAGCCTGGTTAGTAACAGCCACACTGACAACAGCAAATCACAAAAGCTATTATGAAAAAACCAACAAGTAATTTACAAATGATAAGAATAACTTGATAAACAATTTCTGCTACATCATATTTAGAAGGCAGCCTGAGAACAAAGAAACAAAAATAAAACTATATGATTACTTTATTTGTAGACTAAATAAATTTTAACCTAAAATAAATTTTAACCTAAAATCTGGAAATGTACATATGAATTCTATATACAAATTTACACAAACTTCTACAGTTATTACGCACTGAATGTTCTGAATGTCATTCCTATGGACAACAGCACTTACAGGATAGCTGTAAGAACTAAATATAATTCAATGCAAAGTAAATACTAGGTTGCTGTCAAATACAGTTATTAATATTTTGTCATTATTACAGGCAGTCCATCCCAAAGTCATCTGACTTGGGAAACCTTTACTTTTGTTTATTCTGCTTTTGGGCTGGGGATATAGCCCAGCGGCATAAGCGCCTGCCTGGCAAGTGCAAGGTCCTGAGTTTGATTCCTGAAACCAAACAAAAAAAATTCTTCAACTCTGCTCATTCTGCTTTTCTAGAGCACCTTATGGGATTAATGTTCTGTGGATGAGGCCAGCTTACTGGCATCAGGCTGGGAAAGCCCTCATGCTGGCATCAGAGGGACATCCAGAGTCTTTTTTGGGGCAGGGTGTGGGGGCAGCTGTGATTCTGTTTGTCAGGGAACTCTAAGGACAGGAGAGTTGAGTGGACAGAGACCAGCGTTGGAAATGTGAGATGTCCCTGGGGAGGTGCAGAAAGCGACACTGGGCAACTCAGTCACAGTTTGAAGGATCCAAAGGCTAGGACCCCTAATCTGCCAAAGAGGTCCATTACTGCTGGTGACACACTGAGATCTCCATTTAGTGTGTCCATGTTCCCTAGAGCGTACTCACTTCTTGGGGTTCCTGGAGCCCAGAGTCCAGTACTGAGATAGAACATTCTTTTCTTGAGGTAGTAACTTCTTTGCCTGAAAGAATGTATGGTGCTCAACACAGGATTTCCACAAATTTTTGCAAGATCGGTAATTTAGCATGTTGAAGGCCACGATATGTTCCCTGGATTCAGGCTGCAAGGAAAAATAACAGTGATCTCACTGCAGAGACGGAGGAGAAACATTCGGCAAGCACTGTCCCCACACTGCTGGCAACGAGGCACGAGGCAACAGAGAGCAGAAAGCAGGCCTTGGCCGTAACCCCAGTGTCATAGACACTCCAGAGCAGGGCTGGCAAGCCTCTCTACAAAGACGGTAATAAAGATGACTAGAAAAACTCCTCCTCATCATTGGCGGTCCTTTACGAGCACCCCTGCTTGAAATCTGCTTACATTTCGAGGCTGGGTGTAACTGAAGTAACAGCTAATACGACCCTTTTAAAATTTAGGCCCGAGAACATCTTTCTCCTAAGGAAATATTTTTTCAACTACCAGACAAGGGCAATTTTATAACCCAGTTTTACCACCCACAGAGCACAGGGTGAAGAAATCTAGTGGTAATGTATAATAAGCATTTTCTTTCCGTTTTTATTTTTCATCAGTAAATGTTTGTAGTACACAGTGATTATATTCCTTCTAGGCAGACGGTGCACGTACATAACAAATCCCAATCCCCTTTGCATCCCCTCCTCTCCCTCCCGACTCCCCCACCTCTTGATCCCCTTCCCATTTGAAAAAAGACCTATCTTCCTATTTCCTGTTATCTCTCTCTTATTTTGGTCTCTCTATATTTTGGGTTTCTCATATAAGAGAAACCAGGTGATATTTAAGCTTGTGTGTCTGATTTATGTTGCTTAACCTTATCGTCTCAAGGTACATGTACGAATGTATATTCCTCAAAAACTTTATACTAAACGTTTTAATCATTGGTTTTGCTTTCATTTTACATGGGCTTAGGTTTTCTGATTTCTTACGCATTTTTATGTCACTTTGAATCCTGCTCTAGGGGAGTCAGGTGACCTAGATTCTAGACTTTGCTTGCTCTGAGTTTTAACGTTCCCATTTCTAAGGGTTCATTGTTATATGGGGCATTTTTTTGGTGGTGGTGGTACTAGCGAATGAACCCAAACTCCCTGCACTGAGCTACATTTCCCAGCCACCTCCCATCTTTTAACAAAAAATTTGAGATAAATTCTTGCTAAGTTGCCAAGACTGGGGTCACACTTAGAATCCTCCTGGTTCAGCCTCCCAGAGTGCTGAATGTGGCTATTTCAAGGACATATAACCCTTGAAAAATTGGGAAATGGACACAGTGATAGTAAGTGACAGATATGCAGTTGGGATGTAGCTCAGAACCACAGCGCTTGCCTGGCAAGTGCGAGGCCCTGAGTTTGATTCCTGGTACCAAAAAAGAAAATAGTAAAAAAAAAAAAAGACAGCATGGTGCAGAAAGAGCAAGTATCTTCGGTTCCTAATGGTCAGTTCAAATTCCAGCCTGGGCACCTCCACCAGCTGTGAGAGCTTCAGCTTCCTCACTCTAAATCCACCTCTGTGGCTAAGCAAACTGAGTCTAAGAGCTGATGACTCCTCCTGGAAACAGACACAAGTCATTGCGCGGTGAACACACCAAGGAGGGAAGTGGCCTGCGGACAGTTCTTGCCACTCTGCGTGGGCTCTGCTGTGTGCTCTGACCATGCTGTTCTACATTCTCCCAAGAAGGGGACATTACTGAATTTCTGGAAACCAACTCAGAGCAGGTGTGGTTCTGCGATCTGCCCAGCTGGTAAGAGGAAGAACCAGGTTCTGAGCCCACCATCTCTGACTCGGAAGCGAGTTCATTTTCCAATCAGAGATGCTTGCCTTATACAGAGAACTGGGGGACCCTCTACACCTCGCGTAGCTGGCAGTGGTAACCCTGGCACCACTGTGCAGTGCTCTCTCATCCTCGTTACACACGGCAAATTGCCTCCAACCCCCGCAGCACTAAGAGCTGAAGTGAATTCAAAACAAGAAACAAAGCCAGCGTGGATGCAACTCACCTGTTTTTGTCGCTGATGTATAAAGAACTTTTTCCTTTTGAAAGAAATTTTGAGGATGTTCACCCTGTAAACAATGAAACAGAGCACAAACAAACAAAAAACAAAAAATAAGCCGAAATAGAAAGAAAGCACAGACATCAGGGATCAGCTTGTGTCCTCTACTCCATGGTCCTGGTGCCTGGACGCTTGCGGCTGTCTGGAGATGCCGCCAGCCCCACCGCCTCCGCCGCACACTGGTCTCACACAGGGCCTCTGATTGGGAGGTAGCCTTTAAATAACAAGAAGCTGGGCCGTGTGCTATCTTTGCTGTAAGCTTCCTTTGTGACTCTGGCGCCCTGCGGGAGCTGGAGCGCACAGAGGGAGGACAGCTGAGGGCAGTGTGGAGCAGCAGGAGGAGGACAGGCCTGGGTCGGCACCAGCTCCAGGACTCAAAAGCCGTGTTCTTAATCAAGTGCATAATTCAGAATCACAGCCACTATTCATGCAGGGCATTTTAATATATCAGGCCACTAGGAAGAGCTTTCTAGACATCCTCTCCGTAAAGTCTTACAAGGACCAGGGAAAGTATGTATTGTTACAGTGTACCTCGTTTGCAATGAGGAAACTGAGGCTCTGACACACTGCTGCTGAGAGCCAGGATCTGAGCCTGGGGCTCACCTGACACCAAAGCCTGTGCTCTGAGCCCTGCGCTCTGAAGTCTGTGCAGTAGAATCTCAGTGTCTTTCTGGCAAAGTACTGCAGTCTTGTGAGGGTCTGAAGGGTTAAGCATGGCAAGTCCTTAGCATGATGCTTGAAACACAGTAGCCCCTCAGAGCTTGTTCCTTCCATTAGCATTAGTTAACAAGTTCACTTTTTAAATCAATTTGCTTCCTTCCTTTACTTATTTTATTTTATTTTTTGTTTTTTTTTTTGAGATAGGGTCTCGCTATGCAGTTCAGGCTGGCCTTGAGCTCACTTTGTAGCCCACACAGCCTGGTCTCGAACTTGCAATGATCAGCCTCCTGAGTGCTGGGTTTACAGGCGTGTGCCACTATGCCTGGCAATTTTTTTTTTTTATTTTAAAGAAAGGAAAATTAAACACTAAAAACAATGGTATAACATTTCAAGACAAGATTGTAGGAGAGGGGTCGAGGATATAGCTCAGCAGCGCACTGGCTACCTGGCCAGTGTGAGGTCCTGAGTTTGATTTTCAGTACCAAAAAAAAAAAAAAATTGTATGATAGTAACAATGCTTAGTACATTGTATATTGTTATCTTTAAGGTAGTTGCTCCTATTACAAGATATAGGCATGAAAAACTGATCAAACAATATAGGCATAAACCCTTCAATAAGCGAATAGCAATTAGTAGTATAACTATCTCAACTACCTTGTGTGTGCCTGTCTTTATTTATCTATTTTTCCTATGCCAAGTTACTGCAATCCACACAAGAGAGGTGTATTTTCCTGCTAGTCTTCTTTATACTTAGGGGAAATAAAGGAAGTCTACTGTTCTCTAGGGTCATATTAAGACCTTGGTAGAACATTCCAGACCAGAGAGGGAAAGCTTACTCATGTAATACTTCCCCGGCTTGATCGGACATACACACCACCGTGCTCTCTTGTCTCTGGAACCCCACAGGGACTCCTGTTTTGCAGGAGTCAGGAGAATCAACTTACTAGCTTTTGAGTTCTCCCTTTACCTTGTTCAACCCATGGGAAGCTGTGGACCTCTTGAGCCCCCATTAGCTTCACATGGGGGTCCCCTGACAGACACCCAAGGTTCAGAGGGCTCCTGCTCATTGCTCCCTCCTTCCCAGGGAGACCCCAAGTTCTGCACCTGACAGCTTTCTATCCTAAAGCAAATGTGAAGAAGTGCAAACATTATCGGTGACCTTCCGGGGTTCCTACTTCCACCCTTTCATAAGGAAAGGAACAACGTACAGTGTCTCCGTGTACTGAGCCCAGTGCCTGTGTGAGCCTCTGGGGAGATGGGGAGCAAGACACTGCACACTGCTGTCTGGAAACATGAGCTAACGAGGGAGAGAGGTACCAAATCCACAGTGATGCACAAAGCCAAGCCACTCGCATGCGAGCCTAGCACCGCACAGAGCACAAGGACGGCACCTCCGTTCCTGTGGCCAGGGAGGCTCCCGTGGCCAGGTCTCTCTCCTGCCACTCCCCACGTCCACACCACACGTCAGCCTGACCAACCACCTTCCTCTGCACACTGCCTTGCTCTCTCGTCTCTAGAATCCCACACGCCACAGAAGTTCTTCTCTAGAATTTATTCCCTTGGTTGAAGCCTGTCCGGCTTAGGCTTCACCTCTGTGGGCTCAGCACCCTTCTTCCTACATCCTGCCCTTCCTAGGTATTTCCTCTGCACCTAGCTCAGCATCCTAGGATCACCATCCAGTGCTGGCCTCCCCACTGATCTGAGGTTTGTACCAGAGGCAAGGCCAGACCTGGAGAAAGACCAACTTACAGCTGAAAGGTGAGGGACAGAGTGGCAGGTATGCAAGTGACCGTGGTGGCCAATGGGTGGCACAGTGCCTGTGGGTTTTGCAAAAAAGGCCCTGTTTATAAACCTCCTTCTCAGGACCAAATTTCCCTCCTCCCTTCGAAGTATCCTTGCAGGACTCATATCCTCCCTGACGTGCCATGGTCCAAGCCCTGAGTGTGGGGCCTTAGGAGGCTGAACCACAGACAGAGCTAGGTCGAGGTGGCTTCTAGCCCGTGGCCTCTGGGCAGGGGGGTCCAGCATCCAGAGGGGCCTGTGGAAGGAAGTGAGCCCTGTACCCACTGCTTGATCCTGAGAGGCCAGAGAGCTGCCCGGGTCACACAGCAGCCAGCCAAGCTCAGGCTGGGGTTTCCTGCTTCCCAAGGGCTTTCAATGATACCAGGGAAAAGAACAAGGGAGAGAAGACTCTGTTGTCTATTGCACTGATTTTATTCTGAAATGGAATAAGGCTGTGACGTGTTTGCTTTAGAAGACAGACATATTGTAAAATTAATTGAAAAATCAGTGTCTCTACGTCTGCATCCTATTTAAATATTTCCCCACAAATACAAATTGTAGTGAAGGAGTAAGAGTATAGGCACCAGAGCTTGACTCTGGGTACGAATTTCAGATACACCAATCCGTAGCCCCGTGACCCTGCACAGGTTCTTACTGAGCCTTCTCCGAAACTGAGGATAATAAAGATGCCTGTTCTGGGTTTAAATGAGAGAAATCAAAACAAATACGGAGTACCGTGATCTAGACACCACGGCCACTCCCTAACGATAGCTGCTATCATGATTATCACCTCTTCAGTTCCGTTTATTTATAGGATTTTTTCCTGTCATGAATAAGGCTGCAATGAACACTTTCAAATCCCAACTCATGAGGTTCCACACTGCCAAGTCAAGGAACGGATGCAGATCCAAGCATCAAATTCAGCACGGCACACATCTGGCGTCCAAATCTCCTATCCCTTCACCCTCACATCTTTCCTCGCGGCCACTTTTCTTTACACTCGCACTTCTGTTTCTGCATCTCCTGCTGCCTCCAGCACTCACTCTCCTCGGCCTCCCTGGTGGATCTGCCCAGCCCCCATCCGCGGGTCATTCCAAAAGGTCATTTATTTTGGTAGTGTTTCCCTCGAAGAAAGCTCTGACTGCCTGATACATTCCATTCCAACTTCTCTCCAAACTCCAATTCGACACACTAAATACAGCAGCCAGCCAAACCAAACTTATTTTTCAAGTATTGAATCTGGATCTAATCCCAAAAGTCAGAAGTTAAATCTTAGCCGGGCATGGTGGCACATATCTCTAACCCCAGTACTCAGGAGGTTGAGGCAGGAGGACTGCCATGAGTTCAAGGCCAGCCTGGACTACATAGTGAGTTCAAAATCAGCCTGAGCTACACAGCAAGACCCTATCTGAAAAAAACCAAAAAATACACAACAACAATAACAACAAAGAAATTAAAGCTTGGGGTGGGGGGATTTCTATTCCCTCTTTAGAAACAAAAATTTAAAATTAGAGGTAACATTATTCTTGTTCTTATTCTCAGCGCATTTTTAAAGCATGATTCAAACAATAATTAGAACCGTTTGCACTCACCAAGGATAGAAACTTGTACAAATGTATTTTCGGTACACAGCAATGCCCGCAGAAGCAATTCCAATCATTAGCTCTAAATTGTGCAGGTCCTGTAAGAAGGAAAACATCAGGCTCACAGCGTGTCACAGTCACGCCTGGGCCCCCGGCAACATTAGAACACCCTTGCTTTTGTAAATAACAACATGTACTAGTTCTAAAGGGGAAAATATTACTGAACAGAGGCAATCACCTTCACATAGCAGCTACTTAAATCCAAGCACTTAGCCCTAAATCCTTCTAAACCGAATACAGAAACACACACACACAGAGCCTATCTGAAAATGTGGTTTAGAAAGTTGCCAGATAAATCCACTCATTCCACACAATCACTTAAAAAGACACTCAGTTTTAAATGCTCAACACTTAGCATCTGAGAGCCATGTTAAGACCAGAGAGGCCTCTTCTCTGCACAGCTTTGTATAAATCTCCACTCCCGTTACTGAAAAGGCTGCAGTTACTATGATATGATGATGAAAAATGACAAGTGACCCTAAATGAAATTAAGACGTACATGTTGTTTATAAATCCAATATGCGCACATTTCCTAAGAGTCCATGTGCTGGGCATTGCTGTAGACACTGAAGGTACAGAAAGAAAGCAGAGCTCTCAGGCTGTTTTAAACCCACTGAAGTATAAGCAATAAAATTTAAAAATAAATCAGTTCCTTCCCTGAGTCACATACATTTCTGTTTTCCAGCCAGATACTTGCAATTACAAAGGGGCTGAGTCTGAGTTGGTTACACCTGAGAGCCTCTGGCCTGCCACCTACCAGCCACGCTACTTTGGGCCCAGAAGGGCCTCAAGATTTTTCCTTTTGCACAATAAAGATTATAGAACCCACCTTGAAGAGCTTTTAATCAGGCTGAAATTAAGAGAATCTAAGAACCTAGAACAGAGCTTGGCATATGGAGCTTCTAGAACAGGGTCTGGTGTGTAGGCGGTACAATAAATGTTCATTCCCGTTTGCTGCGGGACGAACCATTTATGAGCAGCAATGTAAACAAGGGGAGTTAGAGAAACTGGCTGGGGAAACAGTGTTGACATGGTAGAAGTCCACAGAGATTCATGACAGGAACCCAATGAAGTCATGTGCTTAAAGCAAAGCCAGATTGGCACAGTGCAGAACAGAGTTGCCTTTAAACATGATACCTGCAATCACGGTACAAGGAAAGAACAAATCAGCAGAGGTAACAAAAACAGAGTGAATACGGGAATAAATGAATGGTTTCATGGGCCAAGGACTGGGTCTCAAGTCTCATAATCCCATGATTTTCCAGTGTCCGTTAGACAGCTAATCCTCTGAGCCCTGAAGGGTCATTCTTCTGACAGTCCTTGAGGTGGAGAAGGCACAGATCAACTCAGACACATACAAAGTCTCATTTCACCACTGAGTAAGTTCTCCGAAACATTCTACTGGAGCTGAAGCATTTGCAAATGGAATAAAAGCAGTGAAATCGTGAAGTTGGTATTCTGTATGACTCAATATATTTTTCCTGCTTTGCTACCTACACTGTACCATGCCCACCTTGCAGGACTGTTATGATACTGAAGTGAGACATAATGAGAGAGTTTCTATAAACTGTAAAAATATTATCTAAAGTTTGGACTGTTATTCAACTTCCATGAACGTTAGCCCTCTCATTTATGAAATGGAGAAGATTAGAATACCAATTTGACAAGGTTTCTATGGCTTCTTAAGAAAGCCACTGGAACAAGGCTAGTACTTGGTGTTCAAATAATATTTGTTTCCTTTGGAGTCTGATGTGGGCCAGTGACAGGTAGAAGATGCCAGTGTGTCACTGCTGAAGGTCAGGCATAGTTAGGCAGTGCTGGGGCCCATGTACTGAAGTTACTACTTAAGTGCTGTATGACTTCTGTCAAGTCCTTGAGTATCAGTTTATCCATCTGTAAAATGGGGATAATGACAATATATAGCTTGTAGCATTACTAGGAGGAATACAAAATATTACTATATAGCGTAATAGAGAAATTTTCTCAGTACTGATATATTAGATATACTTTGCATTTTGTCTTTTCTTCTACAGTGATAAATATTAGTTAATTCTAATAAACCAGTCACAAACAATTTAAATATTTATTATTTTTCACAATCATTTTGCCACCATTTTCTTTTTCTTCTTCTTGTTTTTGCTGTTAAGAGGGATTGAGATACTCTATCACTGAGCTGCATCTTTAGCCTTTTTTTAACTTTTGAGACAGGGTCTCACTAATTCCCCAGGCTGGCCTGGAACTCATGACCCTCCTGCCTCAGCTTCCCAAGTAGCTGAGATTATGTGTGTGCGCATCACTTTGCCCAGGCAGCACTAATTTTTTTGGTTAAGCTACCATAATTAAGTAACTAATTTGAGCAGTGCTTGAGATTAAGTAGTAAAAACCTTGTCTCACCAAACTGTCACTTGAAAAATGGATCTATACACATTTTTTTTTGCCTGTTTAGCCATACTACGGAATAGTCTTAGAAAAACTACATGTTTCTAGACTTTTGACCTCTTAAAAGGAAAAAACCTTCAAGTACAATGACAAATGTTAAAAAAGTAATTGGATAAGTGACCAACAAAATTCAATATTAGTTAAACACTGCAAATATTTTTTAAAAGATCTTGTGCTTCGTAATGGGAAAGAAATAGTACCATCAAAGAAGTTTTCAAGCTTTTATAATTTAAAAGTTAAATTAAAAAAAAACTGAACTGAAGGATACATACCCTGCCACTGTGCAGCTCCACTCCATAGAAATCGAGGGTCCGAGCTATGTTGATGTAGCACGATTCTGCTTCTGATTGCTTTAGCCCACTATGGAAGACAAGACAAAACGCAAAGTACACCTAATAAATAGGGAATATTAACAACTTTCACACATTAAAAAAATAGACAGAATATGATCACATTACTCAAAGGTTACTTAAATGCTTTCTGTTACTTCTCTTAAGCAATCTAATCCTAAATTCTAGTGAACCAGGTTTTTCTTCTTGTTCTTCAGGCAAGAAGACTATCGCCTTTCATAGCTCCTACTCTAGCCATTCTAAATCGAACAATTAACAGGTAATCTTCAGGGCTTTCTGCTTTTGTCTATTCTTTCTGCAGTGGCACAAACTTCAAACACCACTGGCCCTGTCCTATTTTAGGACGTTGACTTCTGCTAGAGGAGTAATTCTGGGAGAGAGGATTGGCAGTGTCTTCTTAGAAGGTACACTGGTCGCTTGCCCTTTGTTTTTATGGCCTTCCCAAGAAGAGAGCGGTCCCCTGAGAGCTGGCCTCCTGGGTCAGCGTGCACCTTATCTGACATGAACAGCTGTCACAGTAGCTTTGAGTTGGATGGGAAAGGGAAGAGAAGGCAGGTCCTGGGCACATTTGTGGGAGGTGAGGCTCGCCCAAGGCAGCTGCAAAAGCCTGGCACTCCCTGTGTGGAAGAAAGCAGTTTTCTCCAACTGAACCCAGCCTGTTGGACTACCTGCCCACTTATCTGTTTATTCCACAATTTCTTAAGGACTGGCCTGCTTTACAAAATGTGGGAAACTGCTAAAAAGTTTCCCCAGTGGGGTCAGTTTGGGGGACAATCAGATTTCGAAGCTGGCCTTTCCTTCACGCATTAACCAATTTCAATGACATCCCGGGAAGGAAAACAGCAGCCAGGTCCCTCAGTGCCTACTGGATTTTACACTTCACAGAAAAGCCAGTTATACAAATATACCTGCCACCCTCAGAGCTCAAAGGTTTGAAAGCCCCTGACATCTTGAAAGGATCGTGAGCGAAAGGAAGGAGAAGCAACATCAAACGCAGGGGGCTGCGATGTCTGAAAATACCTGCCTTGAGCTTCCGAAGTAGGCCACCCGAGCCCCCTCACCTGTGCTGCTCGTGGAGAGATTCCACCTTGGTCAAGAAGTCATCGTTCTGATCTGGTATGAACTGGCTGTCTGCAAGGTAGCCTGGGTGATGTACGGAAGAATTAAAGTCTCCAAAATGAGCTGTTTGGACAGAACAAGGGGAAAACTGTAGTCACTTTTGTTTTTTTAACATGGTCTCCATCTGCAAGCATCTACAGCACTGCCAGGAAAACATGAACTGGAAATACTCTTGGGGTAAGTTCAGGATTGCAGTATCTCCTCTGAATCTTCACTTGTGCGGGCTAAATACGAGCACATAGGAGCCACCTGCTCCTCACACTCCCTGACGACTCCCAGCAGACCCTGTGAGATGGTGTTAGCAACCAGGTTTGATACCTCTAGAGAAGGTAAGAGAATGCCAGGCACTATGTAGGCTCCATCATGCCCCAAGTTACTATAGTACCATACCAAGTAGCTCTACAAACAATGGGTAGGGAGCTGGGCATTGTGGCGCAGGCCTCTAATCCCAGCACTCTGTGAGGCTGAGGCAGGAGGATTCTCAGTTTAAGGGCAGCATGGGCAATTTAGCAAGAGTCTTCCTCAAAATAAAATAAAAAAGGGGTAAGGGTGTAGCTCAGTGGTAGAGTGCTTGTCTAGCAGATGTGAGGTCCTGGATTCAGTCTCCAACACTGGTGGAAAAAAAAAAAAGAGGGGCTGGGGATTTAGCTCAGTGGCACAGCGCCTGCCTGGCAAGCACAAGGTCGTGAGTTTGATTCCCGGTACTGGAAAAAAAGCCAAAAAACCAAAAAATTAAAAATTAAAAAAGAAAAAGAAAGAAAAGAAAAGAGAAGAAAATATGTATAGAAAGGAAATCAATGCCAACTTGACCCACACCCTGGGATCAGGGAGGTGTATAAGAGATCAAAAGACAGGAGACAGATGCTGGGATTGTTAGGGGAATCATGTAGGGAACCTGCAGATACAGGAGGAAGAGGAGCAGGGGCATTATGGAAGGACTGATTTCTAGATGAGCTCCTGGACCAAGCCATTCTTCTCCTTTGATTTCCTTCACCTCTTGCTGTAAACTGTTGGTGTCTACGATATGACAGGTATTCTTGAGAGTTATACAGTGCCCAGTCCACACAAGCAAACCTAGCTGCCCCAAGAACTCAAATGATTTGTATGTCTAGATGATGATGAGACTGGGAAAAGGACCCTGGGCAGGTTCTGGGGATAACATCTTCTCTTCTCCAAGACACAGTTCTATTTGTGTAAAAATAGGAGTGGAAAGATGATCCTGACCTCTGAGGTGTTCTTTCTTGCACTGAACCACAGGCCTCCTGCATGCTAGGTGAGCGCTCTTCCAACTGAGCTGCAAGTACTTCCATCCCTTGAGCTGTGATGGGCAGCTGATCTCATATTCTATTTTCTTGACAAATAAAAAGGGACTCTATTTCAGCTCTTTCTCAAAAATTTTAACCTTGATCTTTCCAAGGGTTTTATTCAATTTCTTCCTGTGGTTGGCTTCAATGCCTGGGGGCTTTTGAGGACTCAGGATAATTTTGGAGCTGCAATTCAACACAGATTTCCAAATCAAACAACTCCTCTGTTACCAGGACAGAGTGTGGGGAAAGCCATGGCGATGCGCACAGCCAATCCCGGAAGGAAAGGGGATGAGCCAGGTGACCGCTTAGGTGAATTTCATCACAAAGTCAAAGGGGCAGGTGCCAGGGCTGCGTGTCCTTGTCTACGTCTACTCAGCCCCTTTCCCCCAGCTGCCCTCACAGTGCTGGTCTTGTAAATCTACAGCACCACAGAGGGATCTGCTTTCTCCTTACACTGTCTCTTGAGGGTACCCGATGTGGCAAGCAGCAGGGGCTCAGGGACTCAGATGCTCAGAACTGACCTGCAGAGAGGCTGCCAGAGAAGCTCAGGTGTGGACGGGGGAAATGGCAGGAAGCCAAGTGACCTACCCAGACTCTGTCAATGTTAGGCGAATGGGAATGTTAAGGCTGCGTGATGGAAGTACAAGTGTGGCAGATAAGTATGTGTGATCAAGTGTACAAGAGTACACTTCTGGAGAATCACCACCATTCTGGAGAACCGCCACCATTTTACAGGTGAGAAGCCTGAGATTCCCAGAAGTAATACCACATAAGCGGCAATGGAGAAGACCATTTAAACCGGGTGTGACTGTCTTCTTTCTAGCGTTCTTGCCTCTCAAACCCAAAGCTCTAGCTATGAACACCCAACTTGCCCTGACACAGGCTACTCAAGAGAGGAGCGCATCAGAATCACTTTGTTTAAACTCCTTATGTTAAAGGAGAGGAAATTGAGGTCCTAAGGAGAAAGGACCTACCCTTATCCCAGGGCCTTTTTAGCAGGGTCAAGACCAGAGCGCTGTTAGTGTCCCACTGCTCTCCCATCCTGTATGCCAGGTGGTGAGTGGCTGCTTGCCATTTGCTGATGTCCCCAAAGGCTAATTAAATGCTGCGAATGACTTTCTTGAGCCTAAAGGCTGTTGGTTCATTAGCTCATGAAGACCCTCTGGAATCCCAATTTGGTCATCCATCCTATTGGCAGTCACAACCCTGGTGCCGTTCTGAACTACAAGCTTTTGTCCTCAGCAGAGTAAAAGTCTGGAACTTAACATACAACCAATGAACCTTTCTGTGAAGCGATTTTCCCTTGGCATTTTAAGCAGCCATTCCGTGCAAAGCTCTCCATGCTAACCACTAGGGGGAAACAAAATTAAACAACCACACAAACATTTGCAAAACACTGGACTGTTTGCATATGTATTTCAATGATGCCATTCTACTTGATGCCTAAGATCACCCAGCAACGAGCAACGCTTTTGTCCACATGGAACAGATAAGAAAACTCAGAAAAAAGGGACCGGCCACTGCTGCTCAGCTGCTAAGTGGGAACTTAAACTCTGACCACAGTCCCTGCTCTTGTCTACTTACTTACTGTGATGCACCAAATTTCCCAGTAATGCATTTTCCTACTGGATGGGAAGCAGTACAGGCAAGTGTTAATTATAGCAGAAATAAATACGTAACTAGGTGCAAAGTACCTTGAATTTTAAGTTTCATGCTTTCTTTCGGCTGACAGATAATATTTGATGTTATGCAGCAAAGTGGGAGTCTGCCCCAGGTTCTCAAAGTACGGCATTCTGAGCTATCAAGCTGTTCTCTTGGGGGAATCTTTTACCTTCTATTATTCCAACTTGATCTCAGAGGCTCTTACTGTTGGTCATTTCTAGTATGCTTATACAACACATACACATTTCCAACATTTGTCTCATAAGCTTTTGAGACAAAAGCCATCAGCAATCTTCCACTATCATGTCTTTTGGGGACTTTACCTACAGATCATTTTATTTTTTATCTAATGAAAAAATGTACTTTTGATTAGCTGGTAGGACTTAAACACCCATCTCAGGACAACTGAGCAAAGTTTATCAGATAATATATAGGCATACTTTCTGACCCAGTAGTCTTGTATTTGAGATTTAACCTTATAGAACTATAACACGGAAGTATGCAAATGTATGCACTTATTTACTGAGGGTGGGGGACTATCAAGAGCTGGTACTTAAAACAGCTTGCTTGACAAGCCAGGATTGCGCTAGCATGTTGGCAATACTAAATTTTCACTAAAGCCAGCTTGCATTTTAGGTGCTAATAACTGTCTTTAGCCATTTTATCAGTGTTTTGCAGAGGAGACCTGACTCTAGGAATTTGGACAGAAAGTTTTAAATATGGTTCTTACATTTAACTCTGCTAAACAGAGTTGATTACTCACAATAGGAAATTTTTAAGAAACCTTTCTTAGGGGCAGACATGAAAATACACAAAGAGGTTAACACTTGCCAAGTACCAGCCACCATTCTAAGAGCTTCGTAGACAGTCATACATTTTACCTTCACTCAACTCTATGGAGCGCACACCGTTACATCCCACTTGACGGGAAGAAAGTGAGAGCTCAAGATCATGTAAGCATAAGAGTACGAGCCAAGACCCAGGTAACATGGCTTCAACCCATGCTCACACTGACTCAGTCAGGGATGGTCCAACAATAAACAATTTTCACTTACACATGGTTAAGGTTAGGGTGTTACTTAATTTGAACCAAGTGGCCACGTTGCAAGCTGTCACAATCTACTGTTGCCACCATTTTACAGGTGAGAAGCCTGAGATTCCCAGAAGTAATATCACATAAGCGGCCAATGGAGAAGACCATTTAAACCGGGTGTGACTGTCTTCTTTCTAGCGTTCTTACCTCTCAAACCCAAAGCTCTAGCTATGAACACCCAACTTGCTCTGTGATCTGAAAAAGCTCAATCTGCAGCTCAGGTGATCCACCAGGCAGAGCTTGGTCCACAAGGTCTAGAGGCTCACAAAGTACAGGTTGCTTGGTGACTATGCCATTTTCTACATGACTGCAACATGGCTGGGTCTGTTCCACATGTACCATAGGGAGATGGGAACTTTCAAATCCATGCAGGACCTGCCAAGAAATCCGAGTTTCCCACTGTGGAGGATAAAATGTAGGGGAGATGAAGACTAACACGGGGTTCTATCTACACAGGCTCACCGTGCAGTCGTCCACTCATCCCTAGCAGCGTCTTTCTCCCACTTCCTGGGCCCACACAGGTGGGCAGGTAAGCCACACATGCAGCTACCTGGCTCTTTTCTCTTGTTTCTGTTCTTTGCTGCCAAGGGAGGAGGCAGACTTGGAGCCACCTCAGTAAATCCCAGTACCCTTCTTTGGCTATTTGCTTCTTCTGAGGTGAGGAGGGCATGTATTTTGGCCAGTGCTTGCCCCAACACCTGCCCATCTTATCCTTAATTTTGTACCAAGTATTCAGCTAGGGAGTAACAGACCAAGATAACTCTGGGCTTATGGGAAGGTACCGGGAATTTCTTAAGTTTTGAGCTATGACATAGTTATTCAGTGTTAATATACTAGCATCACACAGCTAACTATGAAATGATACTCTACTTGCTTTTCATCTGACTACGCATTCTTTTAGGGTTAGTAACAACATACCCTTTTTACTATGCACAGTCAGCATCTACTATAGGACCTGACATGGAATACATAACGTTTTGCTGACTGATCAAGTAAATTTCAACTCTAGCTCAACCCACCTTTAATGGAAAATTCTATCTGGACTTAACTATCCCTAATGGTAGCTATTAGCCACATGTGGCCATTCCAAATGGAAACGTGCTCTAAGTGTAAAATCCAGGCTGATTTTCAAAGAATTAGTATGAAAACAAATGTTAAAAATTTCATTAATACTTTTCACAATTAATTATTTATTAAAACAGTATTTTGGATACATGGCTAAATAAATCATTAAAAATTAATCTCACCTATTTCATTTTACCTTCTTTAATGAGGATACTAGAAAATGGAACTACATATGCAGCTCTCACATTACATTTCCATTGGATGGTGCCGTTAATAGGCCCGCATATAATCCATTAGCTATAGTGAAATTCTAAAAATAAATTCATAAGATCTCAGGGGTGTTTTAGGCAGGCACCAAGCAGTAGGAGTGACTTCCAGCAAATTCCTTAACCTAGCTGGGTCTCGGTTTCCATGTTTATAAGAGGTGACCAGTATAAATATTGTCCCACTGGGGTTTGTATGGAGATCAAATCCAAATACCTGGGCAAAGGCTGTGGAAAATGCCATGGGTGATAGCTGCCTTCTGTTTTACAGACTCCCTCAGGAGAGAACGCCACAGTGGAGTTCATCCACTCTTGTCACCTGCACCACTTTCGTAAACCCAGTATCCCCAAGCTGGGACAGAGAAAATCAGAGCAAAAGTAGGGTTATCTGGGCAGCCAGAGACATGCTGCCCCCCAGGATTCCTGGGAAGGAGTGACTTGGTCAGTGGAAAATACATCTCAATACACTGGTCAGAATGATCTGTTCACCCAGAACAACACTCCCTTCGTGACTTACATTGTACTGCATAGGAAGCCAGAACCACTGCTGAATTCAGGGGGCAGGTTAACCTGTCACGAGAAACACACATTAGCAAAGCCACGAGAACCAGCAAGAGCCCAAAATGCCTACAGATAGATCACAGGTTACCCAAGTCTTTCTTTTCTTGGCAATCATTAAAGAACATGAATTGTAAGTAAAGCTACTCTACGACACAAATCGATCTCAAATAATAAAGCAAATGTAATACACTAAGGAGCTTTCAAAAGTAACTTTTTCATATCTAAAGTAACATACATCCCAAATGCCATGAAGTTAAGGGCATTGGCCAGTATCTGACTGGGCAAGAAAGGTCAGGCCCACAGCTCTGAGAGGAACAAAACCAGATTCTTACATCAATGAGCAGCCTTCAAGTCGTTCTGGTAAAGACTTGACACTGTGCAGGGCTCTCTACATCCCCGAGTCCTAGGACTTCGCGACTCTCGGTTACGTCCTTTCTGGACTAGTGACATCCTCTTAAAAGGGAAAAGTGGGCAAGTATCTTGAATTTTAACACTTAATTCCTTAATTTAATTGAATATAATGACTTAAGATTCTTACATGATTTACCCTCCTGAAGATCTGCAGGCTTCGACCATCTATCTGCCTCTCTTAGGCTTCTATCATCTACCATAAATCCAGAGTTGGGGTGGACTTTTCTAAACTGTCCTCCCAAACACCCCGCTTCTCCCAATGACTCCACCCATGTTAGTCACATTTCAAATCCTCTAAATGCTTCCCTTTCTCCCCTCAACCTTGACTTCATGTTCTTCCCAGGAGCTCTGCCAGCAGAGAAGGAGCAGGGCTCCCCGATGGGTACAAGAATGGGCAGGGAAAAGGCAGGGAACGCTTAATATCAACACCGGGAGATATGGAGATTTTAAAGTACCTTCTCAGAATTCAGTTCAGAAGTGGAAAAAAATGCAGTTTCCATGGCAGCCCATGGAGTTCCCAGGATGTGACCTGTCGCACTTGCTAACTAATCTGTTTGGCCTTTCAGAGTTCCGCTTCTTGTCCATTTCCCTACTTGGAGAGTGAGACTGAAAGCGAAAGCTCCTGAGTTCCTTGCCTTACTAGACCAGCACAGCTCAGTGCCTTGCTATTAGCAGTTATTCGCAAAACATCCGCAGAAAAAATAATCAACTGCATAGGGACAGAACAAGTTTCTATGGCTACAATGGGCATCCAGGACCCAGGGCAGGGAAATTTCACCCTAGAGTTATCTAAAAGGTAAGAAGGCTGCCTCGTGGCAGAAGGAGCTCCTCATCCCTGGGGGTAATCAGGCAGATGCTCAAAGGCTGAATGTGGGCAGTGGAGACCACAGCTGCCACAGGCTTTCAGGAGCTCTGTTTGCAAATATGGGCTGGAAAAGTATCTGTGGTTAAGACTGGGATACGCCAGAACTAGGGTAGGACAGTCAGGAGGTGGCTCTCCCTGGGCACAGAAAAGATAACCCTCACAAAGGGGGTGGATGGGCTAAGTTATGAGGATTCTACAATTCTACAACTGCTAACAGCCTAGAGGCCTGGCAATCCTATTTTTATAACGAGTTCTTGTTTCTTCCTCCTCACCCCTTTCCTCAAATATCCTCTCCTATGCCCCCCAAATCTCAGCCTGCATGTCTGCATTGCTTCCCCCAGGGCAGTTTATTTCCCACCCACTTGGACCAAAACCTCGGTCCTCCTTTGTGTATACTGACATAATCTCTGCAGATGTGGTCTTGCTATATCCTTCTTGCTTTTAAAAACTTCAGGCGCTTTGCTCTACTCTACTCTACCTGGTGAATGCAAAAGGTGCCTGCATTTGACATGAAAAACCCTTGCTTGTTCTTCCGCAGGCCACAGAAATGTAGTTACCAGCTGTTTCTGTATGAGTGTGTATGTGGGTATGCGCACACGTGTGCACCCACATGCACGAGGAAGAGGGGGTGATGTGTCTTCTCACTGCCCTGAGAAATCTAATTCCTCTCCTCTCTACCGTACCGGATGCTGGCCTCTACCAGCAACCCAGAGACTTTTCCAGCCCACAAGGGCAGAAGCAGAGCCTGAAATCCTACATTAACTGTGGTCTCCAGTGCCCGTATTGGGCCTAATTGCCTCTGGTTTCCTGTCTCATTTCCCAAGCAGACTGCCAGCTCCCGCATGATCCATAGCACGCTGGTAGGCTCTGATGACCCTCTTCAACAGAACTACACTAACAAGAGGAAGGGGCGCGCTGAGAATGGAAATGAAACTGGCTGTTCCACCAGTCTGCCCGCTGCAGCTTCTTCCATGAGTCAAGAAATACAAAGGATCTGGAGGAGGCTCCAAGACCATGGGCTTAGAATTTCACTTCCCTTTCTAGGGTATCAGTGGATGCTTCTCAACCCTGGAGAAAGTGTGGATATGAAAGAAGAGGCTCCTGTCTTTGAGGAAGGACCTTCCCAGGGAAAAGCTACCACTGACAGGAACTGAAGGGCCAGAAGAAGGCCCCAAGCAGGACCAGGAAGCCTCACTGAATGAAGCCCGCTTTACATGCTGGATCTCTCTCCCTTCCAAATTTTACAGGTCTTTACCAGATAGTTTATCAATCCTCAGCTTCTAAGCCAAGACTGAGGTGAAAAACAGATGTCCAAAGCCTAATGTCTTTTTTTCAACATCCAGTCTTTGTTTAGATTTAATACGGTTGCCAGAAATGCATGCTCATTAGATTAAAACCAGGAAATCTGGCCAGCTTGATAGGAAGAGAAAAATGCAAAAGTCTCATTACCTTCCTTCACAAATATCCATCTTCAGTTGTAAGAAATACAAGTGCCTATGAAACAATTATTTTCATTAATTCATGTGCAACTAGAACAGGCAAGAAAAAAAATCATTCTTTTTTTTTTTTTGATGAGTGAAGGACAAGACCTGTACATCTGAGAAACAAAATACATCAAATATAATTTTACAAATTTTAAATGGTATTAGACACTATTTTGTACACAGGGCTCACAATGACCGCTCATGTTGATACCCTTCGTCTCCACTAGCTGGGGCAGTTTTCAACCAGTGCTGGCTGAGCAGGAATGGATGAGAGGAAGTAGCCTGCCTACCATCTTTGATGCTGCTGGTACTGCTGCCAGTGGGCGCCCTGGCCCCAGCCTGGGCCTTCCTAATCAGGCACTGGGGGATCCACGGGCACTCTGCACAAGCAGCAACCCATAAAGCCAGGACACTGCTCTGAACATTATGCCAGCATTTGCATACCCACGTTCCCTCTGCAGGAAGCTGCTAAGAGGAGGAAGGGCTGTGAAGATACCTCCTTGGTTGGGGTTTTTTGCTGTGTCCCAGGAACTGTGGGTGCTGGAACAGAGGCATAAACATCAGGACACCAGAAGTTGACAGGACCTCCAAGATGCATGCTGCACTGGCCTATGAGTGACCGGCAGGTGCAAATTCAAAGCCCCGGGCCTATTTTGTGAGCCACTCATTACAGGCCCAGGCTGTGAGGCTGCACTGTTGCCCTGGGACAGATGGGAAAAAGGAGGCCAGCACCAACTCTGTGCGGACTATGAAGTATCTGGAGACATTTATATTTAGGGACACTTGCCTGCTAGTTCCCACTCTCTGAAAACCCAGATTCAAATAGAATAGACATTCCACAGTCTGGGCAGGAGGACAAAAGGGAAACCTCTTGAAATCTAATACAGACATGGCAAAAGTACACAGGGGCAGGAGACAGGTCATTTTGGCAATTTAAACAAATCACTGTCGTATCTTCTCGGATTGACAAAGGTCATGGGGGAGGCTTTTTGAGACCTGAATGCCTCAAACAGTATTCCAATATCATAAATGCAGTTCTGGGCCATGTACCTGGTACTCTGTAATTTCTTGTTTTTAGCCTCCTAGTGACAGTGAGGTAGGTACCACCATCTCTTTTTTGTTACAGATGAGAAAACTGATTGCTCCAGATATGTGGGGTCAGCTATGTCTTCTTTTAACTTAGACACTTACGACAAAAGTCTCAGTATGCTACAATTTATCATACATTTAATGACTAAAATATTTAGGACACATGTCATAATTCTGCTAATACTTCAATTATAGTTAACACCTACATGTAAGGTATTGAGAGATGATACTGCATACGTGTGTTGATTCATACCCATTTGATTTTGGAATCTCTTTTCCACCTAGGGAACATAATCTGTCCTTTCTAGTTTGTTTCTATGTTTATCCAAGTTGACATTCAACTAGAATTAAGTGTTCTCTCCTGCTACAATAATACTGAGAGATAGAAGAGAGGAGAGTGTTACAGATAATCCACTGGTAAACCTGGGCTTTCACTGAAGAGCCCAACTAATCAGGATATTTTCCTAGGGATATAAATGAGAACCAGAACCTGGAGATCACCAGTCACCAAATGCCACCTTGTCATACACTGAGGAAAGTTTCTGAGTCAACCCCAGGAAATCACATGTAAAGAAATCAGATCTGTGGAATGTAATTTGAATGTAGGAGACTATGTAGTATCTTGAAGGAGCTTACATTTTAATTAGACTGCCAGTAAATACAATTCTGTTTAGAATGATCTAAATTTATCAGAAACAGCAGTTGTGGAGGCTCATAACAAAAAAGATATTTAACAACTGGGATAAAAGAGAAGTTATGTACAAGAGAAACTTGGAATGCCTAACTACAGAAATGTAATGACCATTTTAGAGCACACCCCATCCATGACCTTAACTTCAGGAAAGAAGCAATGAACATCTTTTTTTTAGATCCTTTTAAAACCAACAAATATTATCTCTATACTCCCCTAACTCTTGGGAACCAAATTTCCTTAAAAAAAGAATTCACTTTTGGATAGGCTGCAAAATGGGAGCCTAATAAGATACCATGTGCTAGGAATATAGGAAAAATACCTCATATAAAAAAAGTTGGGTGTGGGAAACCTGTAACTACAGCCTGTAATCCCAACATTGGGAGGCTGAGGCAGAAGGATCACAAATTCAAACCTAACTTGGGCAATTTAGAGAGAACTTGTCTCAACAAAACAAAACAAAACAAAACAAAACAAAATGGCAGGGTATATAGTTTAGAACAAAGGCCCTGGGTTTAATCCTTTGTACTGGAAAAAAGAAACCCTTCCCCCGAGACATAAAAAATGTGAATTTGGGGCTGGGGATATAGCTCAGTGGCCTAAGCGCCTGCCTGGCAAGCGCAAGGTCGTGAGTTCAATGCCCGGTACCGCAAAAAAAAAAAAAAAAAAGTGAATTAATAGTAGACTCCTACCCCGGCATAAAAAAAATTCTAGCCGTCCTAGCTGCCCACCAGCTGTGCAAGAGCCATGTAAGTGGCTGCTCCATGGCTCCTTTGCATTAAGAGAAATCTGGTGTCCATATCCTAGGAGGCAAAAGCTACGTTCCATTCCACACTGGGGGGACACTGCCCACTTACAAGGGAGGTTGGCAGTGGAAACAGGTGCTGGCTCTGAACAGTTAATTTTAAGAAAAACACACAATGGGTACGGTAGTGCACGTCTCTAATCTCAGTACTGTGGGAGGCGGTATCAGGAGGATCACAAGTTTAAGGCTACCTTGGACAACTTAGTGACCCTGTGGCAAAACTTTAAAAATACTTTTAAAAGGCTGGGAATATAGCTCAGTGTGAAGGCCCTGGGTTCAATCCTTAGTACTGCAAAAATGTGTGTGTATGTGTGTATAAAATAGACACGGACAAATCAAATTTTATGTGGCACTTAGGTAAGAACAACTCATCTTGAAGTAAAAACTGCCTCTCCGTAGCCCCACCCACTAGCCATTATATCATCAACCAGCACATCTACTTCCGCTTTTTCTACAACAGAGGCTTCATTTCTCCCTGCACTTCCTTAGATGTCCCTTAAATGACAGGAAGGCTCAGCAGGAAGGTTCTGCCAGCGACCACTGGGCGGGAGTGAGCACCTTTCTCCTGGGAGAAGGAAGTAGACAGCCAGCAACCATGAGGGGCAGTGGAGGCGGACTCCTGGGTTAGGCCTGCCCTGGAATCTCCTCCCTCGAGTTCCGTCACGGGAGTACTGTAACATGCCCACTGGGTGTCACAAACCCGGGAGCCCCACTATCATAGCAGGGAGACCAGGCGACGGGCAGTTACCAGTTTAGGCCTTACAGTCCATACATGGGGCTGGTACCTATTAGCTGGTGGTACAATCCACTGAGTCATGACTGGCATTTTACAAAAAGGGAATAACAGAAAACTTCAGTGCACTTTGTGCTTATTATAGTCTTATAAAACTTCTGCTTCAGGAATGTATATGCACACATGTGTGTGTGTGTATGATGTAGAATATACATATACTTTACTGTGGCCTCTGATTTTTTTTAAACCCACTGCTTAGAACCCCCCCTCCCATATACACATGTAAATACATTTATACACAAACATATAATCACAACAAATACACACATGTAGACACACATAATTCCCTGTGTAATTTTTTTGGACATGGGTATATGTTGCCCAGACTAGTCTTTTTTTTTTTTTTTTTGGTTTTGGTTTTTTTTCTAGTACTGGGAATGGAACTCACAGCCTTGCGCTTGCCAGGCAGATGCTGTGCCACTGAGCTACATCCCTAGCCCCACCCAGACCAGTCTTGACCCTCCTACCCTATCTTCACCACTCTAGCAGCTGGGACCACAGGCATGTGCTGCCTCACTTGGTTCTTCATGTCATTACCAAGAACCCCTCAAGCAGAATTTGTATCCAGTACTGGCCTGGGGAATCCTTGGGAGGGTTATTTAAAACACATTCTCATGAATTTTGTCACCAGCTCTGTCCGCATCAGCTTATGAAATGACCTGCTGGGCTGGGTGAGTCTGTACTGCCCCCCGTCTACCAGGGTAAAGAACTGTGGAGGAGAAAACAGCAGCCTGCACTTCCTCATGGTAACCCAATGAGTCACAAGGGCCTTGCTTACACTGGCTTAAAGTGTAACATAATGGTAAACACAGCTACATTCCTGATGTCTGAGATGGAGGAGGAAGAGGTGCCTGAAGAAGGCAGCATAGAGCGACAGGCTAATATTTGTCTTTTAAATATACTAAGATGCTAATGGAAAAACAAGACAGTATTGCGTGTCTGAATTAATGCTGTCTCCTTGGTGATGGTCTTATGGCCACAATGAGCACAGAATAGAATTCAACCATCCTGAACATCCATTGCTTCTTTGTGGGGAAATGGATGGATAATAAAGAGGGAGAGAAGGTTGTTGGCACAGTCCAGGTTCCAGCTGCAGCAGCTTTCCTGCACTGCCCTCCCCCATTTTAAACACCATGGTCCCCACCCAGAAAACCCACTTGCTGGGACCAACCTGAGCTGGCACAGACTCCAAGCCCTGCGGGGTAAACAGCTCCTATCAGGCCCTCCTTCCCTTATCTGGTTCACATACTTCCTGCACCTGCTGATTTACCAGCAGACAAGCTGGGTCCAGCCTGCTCTCAGTACTGGCTCCTGCAAACTGGGCATCTGATCAAAAGTTCTGACTGCCACTTGTCTTGTCATCCTCAAGGGCCACCCAGGCCTGCAGGGATACTGTGCTACACAACCTGTGGATGGCTTGTTCTACAAATTTGCTTTCTAAATCCAGCATGCATTACTGGACAATAACTGTTCATCCTCTCTGGGCACACTGCTCATCAGGCAAGGTGAAGGGAGAAGGTGGTGGGTGCCAGTGTGCTGGACACTGCACCAAATCTGGAGGTGAGAGAGGCAGGCCCAAGATCGAAAACTAACCCACCAACTAGAATCTCCATATACGTACTTCTCTTTTTACTTGGCTGGTGATTGCTGGTGCAGTCATACCCAAATGAAGTTACCTGGCTACAGTTATAAAATGAAGGGTACATTTTTAGTGGTTACTTATTTTTATACACTAAATAGAAAACTTTAAGAAAATGTTATTACCTGGTTTGTTCTTGCTGCAGTGTGTTGGGATCAGGTATAAAAAATCTTACTCGAAAATGCAGGGAACAGGGGTAACCTCCTACAACATTTTTCAAAGACAAATTAAGTTTTCCCTTTGAAAAGTCAATGTATGTAAGTTGTTACTCTCTTATAAGTGATGTACTTTTCACTCAACCATAGCTTTTCCCAATACAAAAGGGCTAACTTCAAATAAGGAGTGCGTAAGTTAACGACTTCAGAGATCTTCAAGTATGCGAAAAGTATTCACACAGTATCACCATAGACTACCGTATTATCTACTGCTCATTACATGTTTAACTTAGGGCTGGGTTCAAACAATGCACTCCGTTATCTGCAGTAGGAATTTTATAAATCCTTAAATCAGTATATTATACAAAAGTCCCAAAGAAAGAATGGCTTACATTAACGTAACAATTTATACTTTTTAAACATTTTCATGTACATTGTAGAATTTAAACCACAGCGGGCCTATTATCCAGCTAAGCTGCTGTCCCTAACTTCGCTTCACAAATGAGCCAACAAGCTTAGAGATGTAAGCGACTTGCCTTCATTCACACAGCTAGTGACAAGACGAGAATTATAGCACTGAGGTTTCTGATTCTGCTGTGAGACATTTCAAAATTATTCTACATTGGAAAATATTTCATGTTTTAAAGGCAGAGCATGTTAGATGATTAACATGTTAGTGAATATGACACAATGAAAATATTCAAATATGGCTTTATGCGTCAACACTGAAGAGTCAATTCATTTGTGTGGATATAATTAATCTATTTCTTCTAATAGGTATGGCAACAAAAGATCAGACTGTGTTGCTAAGATCCTGTGATCATTTCTTTTCACGTCAATTTCACCTGCTCCAGCATGCTGCAGATACGCACCTGTCTCCTCTGTGTGCTTAGCACTTTCCTGCTCTTGAATCTGAAGTCCTTCTCGAGCCTGCTCCCCTTGCTGATCCTACTGCCCATCCTCTACTCTGGCTCATTCCAGGCTCCACTTACCTCCAGCTTTAGTACCTTCTGGTTTACCCCCGTCTGCTGTTCAAAGCATCTCTAATGGTTGGTGTACACTTAAGTGTATCTCTGCACAGTGCCTGGTACCAGTGGGTAGTTGTAACTCTGTTCCAGTTACTGTAACCCTGTAACTCCACAGGCTCACCACCTGCAACTCAGGGGACAGCACAGTCCTTCCATTTCCCTGGAAGTACTCCCCTTCCCCTGTTCTATAACTTGTCAGATCTTTGTCTTTCTCATCTACCTCTGGGCACTCAGAACATCCTATCATGTGCTCAGCACTGTCATAAAACACTCTCCTCCTCTTCCTCTTGTCTCTTTTCACACACGGCTGACTGGGGCTGGATTTCCAGAGCTTAGTCCAGTGCTTTGCCAGTGTGAGAGCTCAGGAATGCTTGCTAGGAGAATGAGTTAGAGAGAATGAATAATGACACCTACCCATGCCTCACATATGCTCCTTCTTGTGCATTCAAACTGGCAGGTGTTTATTTGCAAGAGGCTTTGTGACTCCCCTGGGTACTCCTGAGCACTAAGGACATAACCTATGGGAGGTAAGAACTCTGAGGACTCAGCTCCAGGTGAGGGTAGCACTGGGAGAAGAGCCACGGCTACCTGTGTCTATGCCTGCCCACCCGGGGCTGCGGCAGGTGTGAGCGTGTGCAATTGTGCACATGTGCACATGTATGTATAAATCCACCTGCCCTTTACCCCTTTCCTGTTCACTGGCCGCCTCTTGTGTGTCAGGGTCCATGAGGGATGCAGAGGGGAATGCAGCAGGAGTCCTAATCTCAAGGGACCTGCAGCTCTGAGAGGAAGCTAAAGGCACATAACTGTGAGATGGGGGCAGGAGTGTCCAGCCATGAAGCAGACACTGATAAGTGATGGGAAAAGTACAGGTAACCATGGCTACAGTAGGAGAGATGGGGTCTGAGCAGCTTTGAAGAATGGCAGGGGTTAGATACAGGGTTAGATAAAGGGTGGGAAAAGCGTTCCCAGTCAAGGGAAGGTACAGAGGAGGCCCTGCAGACTGGCCAGGTTTGCTCCCCAGAAGGGAACAAGGTCAGTCATGGTGGAAAGCCAGCCTGGGAACAGATCAAGGCAGAGCGTCGGTGAGGTGTGGCTTGAACAGCCACTTAACTGAGTTAACCAGTGCTCTGGGATCACTCATGATGGATAAGCTGTATTTCAGGAAGATCAATAGTTTATATTTGTGACACTGTCTACCTATGGCTTAGTTTCCTGTGAATGCTGCTATGATGTTGGAAGGTAAGGGGACCGGGTCTCTTTCCCACCCTGGCTCTCACACTGCTGAAAAAGACCATCTTTTTCTCCTCCCTTCCCCTTCTCCTTCCTTTCCTCTTTTCCTTCCTTCCTTCCTTCCTTCCTTCCTTCCTTCCTTTCCTTTCCTTTCCTTTCCTTCCTTCCCTCCCTCCCTCCCTCCCTCCCTCCCTCCTTCCATCCATTCTTCTAAAAAGAAACATGGGTTCCCTTGCTCTGGCTGCCTGCTCTCCCCTGGCCCTTCCTGCCCACACTGGTGGGAAGTCCTGAGGGCTGACCTGGAAACATGTCTGCAGACTCAGAAGAGAAACAGGGAGAAATCCTCTCACCCCTGTCTCCTGGGCCCCCAGAATCAAGGCAGCAGATGTTATAGGCACCCTAATGATGAAGGAGAGAAACAAGCCACCAAACACCTGATGTACAACTGAAATGAAAAGAGCACACCAACCTTTCAACTGCTTCCTGATGGGTTTGCTTGATTCAAGCCACCTCTGTTGGGTAAGAAAACATAAGCTATAAAACCAAGCTGTGCATGAGTTCAGCACATTTTACAGGCTGGCACTTACAGGGGAGTCTACCGAGTCTTCACCGTGTTGCAAACCAAAATACTCCTTTTCGGTCACACCCAGGTGGGCATATGCCATATCCAGAAGCGACTGGCCAGTGTCTTGTTTCTAGAAAGAAAAAATAAAATAAAATGGACTAATTTTCAAGAGAATTAAAAACTGGTGGTAACAATGTCTTTACTGTAGGCAAAAGAAAGATTAAATATTCAGATTTGATGCATACACACTTCCCAAAGCAGCAAAAGGGTTCATAAATGTCAAGTTACGAGGTTGCACAATATTTATGGGAAGGAGGGCCAAGACAAACTATATCAATCTGATTTAAGATGATGAGTTTAGACTAATTTAGCTAAGACTGCTAAGATTTCTTCCTTCGCTTTAGCTGAGGTTCTCCAGTGATGTCTAAATCAGAAAATTTACGCGTTATAATTATAGTAAGCTCACCATGACCTAGCCGCGGATTACCCACAGCAAATGCTAATCCCGGGTCAGTTTCTGTTGGCTCCTAAGGATGTGTCTGTGCTCCGACACCTGGAGGCACCCAGAAGTATGTCTACGTGAGGAAAACGCTCAACTCATAGCTAAAAATACTCAAATGCCACTCAAAATACCCTCAGGGTGACTTGGCCCATCCCATCACGCAGGATTATGTGCCTTGCTGCCGTTATCTGAAGTGAGAAGCCGGTAGGGACATTCAGCCACACTCCACTCCAGGGCGGGACTGAGCAGCCGTGACCGCGCAGTGCCTGTTGGGTATGTACGGCATGGGTACACAGACAGAGTCACAGTAAGTGTCCTCTTATTGGCCTGGCCATGGAAGCAACTGTAACATGGAGTAACAAATGCTATCCAGTGCTTTGAAATCATCAAGGCGCAAGACACCCAAGGGGACCACACAACACTCCAGCTGTACCTGGAGACAAAGGGAAGCAACCCCTGATCCGGATTTGGAAGGACGACAGGGTTGAGTGTCACTCCTCCTTTCTAGGTGTGCACACATTTGAGGCTGATGGACCAGCACAAACAAAGGCACAGTTGGGGTAGGGAACAAAAACTGCACGGCGCATTCAGGAAATCGCAAATTCTATTTTAACAGGCACAGACTTCTCAGGAGTCCTTTGAACCAAACCATTTAACTTGAGGACAATATGAGTTAGAAATAGACAAGGTATAGAACAGGCAAAGGTGGTTCTTTTTTGGGTATGAAAGTAGGTAATACGTTTGAAAATAGGTCAGTGATTAGGATGAGTGAAATTAGGTAACAGTAAGGCCTCCCCAGCAGTGACTTCTCTGGGACAGCCCCACGATTTGGCCAGCTGTGTGGGTATAGGAGTCACGCCCATTTCCAGAACACACTCCTTTTTCCAGCCTGAGGGCTCCTGCACAGACGGCTTCCTCTCCCCAGGACTCTATCTGGCCAAAGAACTCTTGATGGGTGTGGAAAGAACGACCCAGTCCATGTGTTTCAAGGCCTCAGAGGCTCTCCTCTCCAACTGTGAGATACTCTCTTAATGTATCAAGAACTATCTGCTCCTCTTCTTGGAATTATTATTTACATATGAATTTATATTGCATTTATTATATGTTATTAACAACTATAATTTATTAAACATCTACAAGGAGCCAGCTATAATTCCATGTGCATCACCCTCTATGATCTCCCGTCTTGTGGTAATTTTGTAAAACAGCCATCACCATCCCCCTTGGCAAAAGCAAACAAGACCCTCTGAGCTTTACCCCGCCAACCACAGCTGTCTGACCACCTGACTCAGGTCTGTCTGCCCGGCAGCAAAGCCTAAATGTTTCCAGTACACCGCTTCTCTCGCTTCTGAATTGCTTGATTCAATCATTTGGGTATCGACTCTGTGTAATTCACTCCATTCGCAAAAGACATTGAAATATAATCAAAGACATGTTTATAATAGGAACAGGCCTGGCTCCAATCCCACAGGAGGTCATTACTGCTATCCCAGCTCACTGCCAGTGCCTGGCTGACTCCTGAGCTAGGGTAGGTGTGAATGACACCCAAATCAGGACCCCTGAGGACGCCTGCTCCTGCTCAAAGATGGACCAGGCTGCTACAAACAGGATGGCAGCAGTGTGATGAGAACAATGATGCTCATACCTGAGAATTCTGGGTGCTCACTGTCAGCCACGTTCTAAGGCTTTATACGATCACCACCGCGGGCAGGTGCTTGCCTTTCCCCTTTCTACTCATACATGGCCAATGGATCCTCCTGACGGTGTCGTTTCCTCATTTTTTTCTCGGACACTGTGCTTCACCTTCTGCTTTCTGCTCAGTTTCCCCTAACGCCTGCCTCTTGTTTTTGCAGCCCCTCAATGTCATGTTTGGTCCCCATCTTCTGTCTCCTCTCAGGCGAGCTCATCCAGTTTCATTCCTTGAAACGCTATCTCCACCCTAGTGATATCCACATTTGTATCCCCGGCCTGGACCCACCCCCTAAGCTCCCTATGTGTGTTCCTTAAATACCATTTCCACATTTCTACAGACATGAGCAACTGCATCTCAAACCACATATCTGCAACAGAACTGGTTATTTGTGTCCCTAGACCTGTCCTTCCCACAGTCTCCCAGTTCTGTAAACTGTAACTCTATCTTGTCAGGTCAAAACCCTCAGAATCACCTTGAGGCTTCTCATTCTTTCGCACCCCAAATATCAGAGATCTGCAAATCCTATGGGGCCCACCTTCCAAGTGTTTCTGGGTTCACCTCCACACAATCAGCCTGCCCCATTATTAGCATTTCTCCCTGGGTGGCTGGCTGGCCCTTTCCTTCCTGGACTACCAATGACAGAACATCCAGAGTGATGCTTGAGTCAGATCAGCTCAGGTCTCTGTCCAAACCCGCAATGCTTTCCACCTCACACAGTACAAAAGCCAATGCCCTCAGAATGATCCATGAGGCTCTACATGAACCCCATCTCCACCTCTGTTATCTCCTGGACCCTGTCTCCTGCTGCATTCCCTCCTGCTCCTTCCATTCCAGTCACAGTGGCTTCTACACTGTCCTGCAGCCATACCGCATGGGCTCTGGCCTGGGGCCTTTGCACTGCTATTCTTTCTCCCTAAAATGTACTTTCTCTAGACACTCACCTGACTCTTTTATCTTACCAGTGACGTCTTCCCAGATCATATCTATAAAAGGATATCCTCCTATCTCTTCCCAAGAGGACGATAAGCTTCAAAAGGGTGCAGGATGTGCTCTGCTTTGTTCTCCAGTGTATTCTCTGGGCCTGGAACAAAGCCTGGCACATACTAGGTACCCGGTAAACACTTGCTGAATGAACAGATGAGGCATACACTAGCAAATATTCATGTTCTTATCAGGAAGAAGGTATACGGTTGAAGAATAAGCCCAGCCTAGACAAACACATGTTAATAGAGGAGCCGGTCAAGTTATAGCATTTGACAGTGACATCTGTGACCTTCAGGGGACTTTTTAACCACAAAACTCTATAGAAGACTACTTAAAAAGAAAAGTGGATATAAAGTAAAACCACAGCAGTTGCTTTTCCAGGGAAATATCCACGACCCCGACAAAAATGCTCAAATCTAGTGATTCTTCAAACTGCAATGCACAGAGACTATGCGTGGAGCAGGTTCCCACGCCTCACCCCTAGAGAGCGTCTCAATACCCAAATAGGACAAGGGATTTGGATTTTTAATGTGGATCCAAGAGTTCTGATGCATTTTAAGAAACAGTCACAAAGGTTGTGCTGTCCAAAGTGGGGACCTGAGCTACAAGACTATTTAAATTTTAATTCAGATTAGAAGCTTAATTCTTCAGGCACCAGAGTTACAATTCAAGTGTTCAACAGCTACCTGTGACTGGCAGCTCCCACTGCTGATGGTGTAGATACAGAACATTCCCACAGCGCATACAGTTCATTCAGAAAGACCTCCCTCGGGGTACTTTTCTCCAAAACAGTTCTGAGAATCAAACCCAGGGCCTGGCACAAGACCCTGGGTTCAGCCAGATGTAGTAGCACACACCTATAATCCTAGCATTCTCAGAGGCTGAGGCAGAAAGACTGCAAATTTGAGCCTAGCCCGGGCAACTTAGTAAGACCATGTCATCAAAATAAATAATACAAATAAGGGCTGGGGATGTAGGTCAGTGCAAGGCCCCTGGGTTCAATCTCTAGTACCAGAGAGTAGGGGGAAGTGGGTCATAGGTATTTATGGAGTTCTATATCCTCTAATTAGACTTTGCAGACACCTAACTAGATGATTAAGTTTTCTTGCTGGAATCTTCCCTTTTTACTACAAACACATTTCCTCCCTTGAAAAGAAGGAAGGTCCTGTTGGGCATAATGGTACATGCCAGTAATTCCACCAGAGGCAGAAAAATGGTAAGTTTAAGTCCAGCCCAGCCAACTTAGTGACTCACTAAAGCCCTGTCTCAGGATAAAAGCCTTTTAAAAAGCGGGCTGGGGTACAGCTCAGTGCAAAGGCTCTGAGTTCAATTTTCAGTACTGGGGTAAAAAAGAAAGCCCCAACCCTGGCAAACAGCTGGAGGCCTGGGAATCGGAAGAAGCAGGTGGCGGAGTAGGACAGAAGGCTGGGAAACACCTGTTGCCACTGATCCTCTCCCTAACTCCCAGTCTGAGTCTTGTCTGCTGCTGAGCAGCATCTGTGGCTGCAACCCCAGGCAGTTGTCCCAGCCCTGGCTCGGAAGGAGACGTAACACCCTCCATGCTTAGGCTTCTTGGGTTGTTTTTGTGTGTGTGTGCCGGGAATCAAACTCAGGACCTTGTGCTTGCCAGGCAGGTCTTGTGCCACTGAGCTACATCCCCATGCTTAGGCTTTTTGCAAACTGCCTTCCCCTCTTGCCTGCACCAAGGTCCATAGTGACTGGGGGTCAGCAGGAGGCAAACTAGTAGGTGGGGTAGAAGATGCAGGGGTCAGTTTTGGTTATACTTCAAACTCTTGCAGCATTTCTTATTCTCTAAATTATTCTCTCACTGCTGTCTCCTCTGCTACCTTTCCTTGCACAGTGGACTTTGCAGGATGCAGTGGATGATGGCAGTTGGTTCAGGTAAGGATGGACCCCTCTGGCACTGGCAAGGGTTGGAGAGATAGGCAAAGGTCACAGACTTCAGGGGTGATCTGAGTGGATGGCCAGCAGGGACCACGACTGTCCCAGCATATGACTTCTGCTGGCCTGGAGCCTGAGACCACGTATCCAGTTCTAGCTCTGCAAGGAGCTCTAAGTGGGAGAAGCCAGGATCTCCATGAGCCCTGTCATCCCGATCCACCCACTCATACATTTAACAAGCTCCTGCTGTGTGCCAGCCCTGAGGTGAGACAGCTTTCCTGTCCTCAAGAAACTCACAGTGCAATGGCCAACATGTAATCTAATGATTATAGCTACCTTTTAAATGCAACATGACATGGGCTCTAATAAAACATATAAACAACACCATCACCCTAGAAGCAGCTCTGCCTCAGGAAGGAGACAGGGACATTGCTGAGGCAGCAACATCTGAGAATCACACAGCTCACATCACTAAGGAGGGGCTGGAAGGCAAGGCGTGGGCAAAGTCTAACCTCAACATACAAAACCTGGAACCTCAAGCTTTCATTTGAATGCATTTTTTTCTTCATTTTGTAAAACAAAGAGATGAAAACTATTTCTTAAGAGCATTAATTTAAAAAACATCGTGGAAGAACTTACATTAACTTTAAAGGTCTGTACCAAGCCATCTAAAAATCGTATGCTGCAGATGACTTCGGATCGAGCTTTGTCTTTGGGTAATTCGGAGGTGCGTATGTTATTAATTCTTCCACCCAGCGCACGTAACCGGGAGGTCATAACTATTGTTGAATAACCTGTAAAGTAAGACACACACCTGTTAGTTCTTTTATATGCTAATTATCAGCTACCAAGAACAGGCCTCAGAGCCCACCTGATGCCCTTCTCAGGAATTGGCTGAGGAAGCCCTGGGTAATGAGAACTAAATAACGAACTGTGTTTCCATTTGAGTTCGATTTCTTAGAAGTAACATTTACTGCTCAATTATACCATTCCTAGAATTACATCGCTTGTGTATTTGTCTGTTATTACCTCCCAGATCTATATCGTCTTCTCATTCTAATTTCCCTGGCTTTCAGCTTTCTATTTATGTCTTGCTATCTAGGTGTTTGCATATTCCACCCCTCAAATGTTACAGAAGTAAGCAGGGCATAAATACGATTTAAAACTTGAAAAGGTTTATTGCGTGGATTACATTAAAGTTAGTAACTTCTATTTATTAAAAGATAACATTCAGCAGAGCAAAGGGCAACCCAAGTGTAAGAGAAGGTTTATGCCATATACAGATCTGCAAAGGCTGTATGAAGTGTTCCTATGACTCAGTGAGAGAAAAAAGCAACCCAGTAAATGAAAACAGTTACTCAAAGATATCACCTGTCAAAGAACCGCAAAGTGAAACCACACGTAACCACCACATACCATGGAAAGGGCTACGATTTGAGACCGACTGACCTGGATGGGTGTACACCAGGGGGAGCTCTCACGCACCACTGTTAAAAACAAGATAGTGCAACTACCTTGAGAAACCTAAGTAATACTGACCGAGCTGTACTCTGTGACACAGCAATCCTATCCCGAGGCATGTTTGCAACCGAAAAATGTACACTTACTCACAAAAAGGTACGCACAAGAATTTTCGTAACAGCCTCAAACTAGAAAAGACATAAATGCCCATCACCTGTAGAACGGATAAACTGGTACCTGCATTATTATACAGCCAAGAAACTAACATTGTGAAACAATTTCTTTACTGTTTCCATGAGCAAAAGATGCCACAAAAGAGATGACCCAGTGCATGATTCCACTTGTATAGCTAAAAAAAAAACAACAGGCAAAACTAATCGATGCTGATAGCAGACAGGGGTAGCCATTACCTCTGGGTGTATGGAGTAGGAAGTAGGTACGGAGTTGTTCTGGGATGCTTTTCACATTGCATGTCTTAGTGTGGGTGCTAATCACACTTCTGTACTCGTTCTCTGAAAATTCAGGCACCGCATTCATGCTTTGTACATGTTTCTACATGTAAGTTTGCTATGCTTTGAATATGGTTTGTCTCCCCCAAAGTCCACTGTAATTGAGGACTTGACCCAGAGTGGTGCTGTGGGAAGTGGTGGAAACCCCTGGGAGGCTGGTCCTAACAGGAGGTCCCCAGGTCATTGGAAGCTTCAGGTGTTTATCCCCTGATCCCCTTGGAAGCTCTTGCCCAAGGCTGTTACAAAAAGAACGAGCCCCAGCCTGCCCCATCTCTTTCCTCTTTGAGATCTCATCACTGCTTCCTCCTGTGCGTGCTCCCACATCGCTATCTGCCATGCTGTGATGTGCTGAGAACCAAACCAACCTCCCAAACTAAATAAACCTCTTTTCTTCACAAGTTGCATGTCAGGCATTTCATGACAGCCATGAAAAGCTGACAAATACAATGTTCTATTTCAGTAACAAGTTTACTTTAAAAACTAAACAAAGACCCTTACATTTACAAAGAGCGAATTAGTGGGCAGTTTAAAAATCCGACCCTGGTATTTGGAGTCAGGAAGGAAACGCGTTTGATGATGAGCCCAATTGTGGAGCGCCAGACTCACAGACTGAAAAGGTGTGCAACCGAGCACACACGGCCAAGCCGTGCAGGTGGGAGGGCCAAGGTCTAGACCGCTACAAAAAATACATAAAGCATCCCCACCAGTGTACAGAATGGGGAAGATGTAAATATGACAAGACAGGGTGGAAGAGTGAATGCAGATGAAGGTCTTGAGAGCAAGCTGATTCTCTACAAACCTTTTCTGACGAGCTGCCCTTAGCATACGCTGTTCCTTCTGCTTGCGATGCTTTCTGCTCTTCTTCATCTGACTAGTTCCTATTCATCTGCTCAGCACAAGCATCACTTCTCGTAAAAGCCTTCCCAGGTCTCCCCCAGCAGTCACATACTGGTCATAAGCTCTATAGCGCTCTCATTCACACTCAGCACTTGATTTAACAGCTGCTTCTCCCACCAGACACCACGCTCCAAGAGGGCAGAAATCAGGGTTGGCTTTGCTCACCGTATCCCTAACACCTATCTCTGACGGGCTGGCAGTAAACATCCGAATGAACCAATAAATGAAAGGAACAATGATACAGAAAATGGAGCCATGATTAATAGTCTGGAGAAACAGCAGTACAACCTGATACACACTCGGCTTGTCGGGAAGCAGGCAGGAGAGGAGGCTGGGATGAGATTGAGGGGAGAGGCAGAGTCCGCTCAAGCTTCAGTGTGCAGAGTGCTGGGGACCTCATTAAAATGCAGACTATGGTTGGTTCCAGTAGGGCTGGGTGGGGCCTGGACATCTGCAGCTCTCTGCCTCTCAGCAGATGCCCCAAGTATCGATCCACGGTTCACCCTGGGACAAGCAAGTCACAGATAACTGGAAAAGCAGCACCAGTGTCAGGGCAGGGCCAGAGATGAAGATCTGTGAGTCATCAGCAAAGAGGGGTGATTCAGCTCTGGAAGACAGGAGGACAAGTGGAGTGGAGGCCTGAGATTTGAGCCCCAGGGAGCTACAGACACAGACAGGGCATAAGAAAACACAGGCAAAAGCTGTGCAGAACGTACATCCAGGAAGAAAGGGGTGCACTGCAATCCCTTACACACACATTTAAGGAGCTGCAGGCACACCGCCATTCTTCTGTAGATAGGGATAGGAACTCTCAAATATTAATAAAGAAAATTCCTAAGACCAGCAGTGGAAAAAAAAAAAACAACAATCATTTATAAAATGCCACCCACCCTACCACCTCCACCTTGCCCTTTTCAATGAAAATGTCATCAGGAAGCAGAGATGCGTTTTCTGAGTAATACAGAAAGTTATCAAAAGACAACAAATGTGTTCCATAATGCTTTAACCCACATTGAATTTTAAATGTCAGTTTTATCGCTTAGTTCTTGTCTAAGAATCTCAGGTGGGTAACTTTTTTTTTTTTTTTTTTTTTAAGATACAATAGAAACATCACAAGTGTGGTTTTAGTGGGAGGCGCGCTCCAGAATCACCTGAGGAACTTTTAAAAAAATGACGCCTGCTGCAGCCCCAGCCCAGCTGATGCTTCCGCACCCTGTGATGTGGCACAGCATGACGTTCACTGTGGAAGGGCCTCCCAGGTAGGACCCTCGCCTGGCAGTCAAGGCCTGGCGGACTGAGGGGGCTTTCAGGGAACTCTGGGGCGTGTTCTGGATGATGGAACTTAAAGTGGGCCCTCAAAAGAACGGGAGCCATTCACTGTGGACATGTAGGAAAGAGCTGGGCAGCTGTTGCGCAGAGTGGACAGAGCAAAGGGAATCACACAGTGACCCTGGACAGAAAACAACACTGACTTCAGACAGGAGCCTGCAATGAAAGTCACACGGACTGATGTGTCAACTGCAGGTACAGATTTGCACACTGTTCCTCACCTGAGCAGCCCCTCATATCTATGCAGTACGGGAGCCATGGCAACTATGAGTTAACTGTAGCTAACAAGGCTGCCTAGCATGGTCACAAAGCCAGCTGGCCAAATAAATTAGACCAGTGACCAGACAGATAGGGTTGCCCTTACTTGCATCCATCTCTGATTGTTACATAAAGGGCTTGGAACTTAAAGAGAATGTCATAAAATAGTATTTTATGAAAGTTACACAGGCAGACGTGGTGGCGCATGCCTGTAATCCCAGCACTCAGGAGGCTGAGGCAGGAGGATCGTTGCAAGTGCAAGACCAGCCTGTGTTACAAAGTGAGTTTAAGGCCAGCCTGAACTGCATAGCGAGACCCTATCTCAAAAGGACAAAAAAAAAAAGTTACACAGAAATGTTCTTTCTACATTTGTTCCTAACGCAAACCTTGATTAAGAGTGGGCCTGATGTCAAACGATCACATAACTGAGCCATGCAGTGTTTTCAGACTGTCTTGAAATTGTATCTTACACAGTTTGGTTGGGACAATGGATGCTGACTAATTGCCCTGTTTCCTGTACCACAGCAATCGGAGAACTCAGGGTTTCTATGGCTTCCTTTATAAGCCTCTTAATTCTAAACAAAGCCACAACCCAAACAGGAACACACTGGCCTCCCTGACCACAAATAATCACAGCTGCAGCTGATGCCACTTACGACACGGAAGCTCAGCCTATACTTTGCAAAATTAAGGAAATTAACCAGTGACAGCTATCCGATATTCTGCACAATAGCCAAAGAGGTTCTACTGGGAATAATCTTGAATCAGAGATCATAATGGGAAACACAGAAAGGAGTAAGGTCTCACTGTGCACACTGGGGTGCAGCGAATACTTGCAGAGCTACAAAAAGCCCTTGCAAAGTGCCGAGCACAATGGGGACACAGTTTATTTACATTAAGCTTCTGTTGCTACCAGGTGCAGATTACAGAGTCCAGGTTTTGTAGGGGCAGCCTGATTTTAAACACCTTCCAGATAGTATATAAATGCTTTGTTTCTTAAAAATTGTATTCATTTAAATAAAGACAGCTTGCTAGAGCTAAAAAGCATTTGTTACAAATATAGAATATACATGTGAACTTCTCTACCAGTGCAGTCAGAAGCAAAAGGAGTTACACAAATTGCCACACACCAGTGCCTCGGTGGCCAGGGCTGGGGATCTGGTTTTCCATTCCTCCTGCTGCCCCAGAGGCTGAGGAGGTGGTCACGACTTTAGGTTCTAAGGGTCCGGCTCCAGGCTGATCCACAGAACTGTTCTTTCACAAGCTAGTGAGCCCCAACAGAAAGGACGGAGCAATGCATGCCGACCCCACTCCCTCTGGATCATTTCAAAAGGAAGTGT